TATTTATAACCAGACGTGACGGATTAGTTAATGAAAGATTGTGTAAACGATCACTTTTTTATAATACAAGCTTTTGTTTTGCGGTAAAATAGCATCCATTTTCTAATGTGTACTGTGTGCGATAATTGTTTTGATTAGCCTCAAGCCTGAACTATTTGCGGTACAGAACCTATGCGGAGTGCAAGTCGTCTGCTTCTTTCGCAGAGGTTGTGGTGACGTCAGAAAGATCCCAAGCTCTGATTGGCTCTGCTTTTAAAGATGGTGGGCAGACCTCAAGGCAGCCTGCTTTGAGCTCTACCCACTATCCTTCAATCAGAGCGAATCAGAGCTCGGCGTGTTTCTGACGTCACCGCAACCACTGCGCAATAAGCAGACGACTTGCTCTCCGCATACTTTTCTTTTGATGGAATCTTAGTTTTGTCAAACATAACGTAATTTCCGGGCTGTAGCTTGCACGAACGGCACAGCTTGGTGGATTTACCTTAAAACTTACGTTTCTCCCTTTCTCCCACCGGTCTGGGATCGCATTCTTCACCTCTCCTTATTCTGTCACTTCCCAAAAACCTGCACTAAGACTCTTCTGTGACATTCTAGAAAAGATTTTAATATGCTTAATGAATTAAAAAAGAAATGCTTTAATTTTTGGAATAATGTAAGAACAAATACAAAACTGATATTTTGATGACCTTGACATCACTAGAGAGCTCGAACTTAGCTCTCCATTGAATACAAATTCAATATTAAATAAAATCCGTTCCATACATTTGAATGAAGGAACGTTTCGAAAATCTAGCAAATTTTGAATCAATTTCCCCCATAAACAAAACAAAAAAATGTTAATTTTTTTTAGTGGCAGGGTATGATAGTGGTTTGCTAAAAAAATATATTAATATAAAATATCGTATTTTGTTTATATGCCCACAGTTTATATTTTGAGCCAGGTAACGATATATTCTCAAACTTCAGCTTTCTATCTCGACCACTAGTTTCAAATTCTCACGGAGTTTGAGCTTTTTACGATGCATAGCTTATTTATCTGGGCCGAAAAACATGGTTCCCTTTTCTCGGGAATTCCCTGTAATAATATTAGGTTGTCAACCATATATCCAAGCCACATTGTTGGCCAAAACAGCACCTATGTATGTGAGGACGTAGTCACAACAAACTAAAAATATTGAAGCGTTGTTCACTGATATGGCTGACTACCTAAAATTAATACTATACTTAATATGCAAGCTTAAAAATAAGTTAAATTGTGCGTGATATGCGGAGTAAAAGTACAGATATGTCTTTCCACGGCAGAGTGAACTTTGGAGCGGAGGTAACCTCCTCTCCATCGCTCACTCCGCTAAAGTAAAAAAGATTCTACTCAAAAAAAAAAAGGAAAAAAAATGTTTGGGCAAAATTGTTTGCAATGCACTTCCAGGCCATGAACACTGAAACATTCATTTAAACGCTATCATACTAAATTATCATATGTGACACTGAAGAGAAAGAGAGAGAGAAGCGGAAGCATGCAGGCAAGCTGGTTAGTAAACATCATAATCTAAACCTAGAGGCACGGAGAAGTAAAATAACGGACATGATGACACAAAATCTCAATTGAGATTTTGTGCCGTCTTATCTTTTATTTTATTTCTCTGTCTTTCAGGGTTTAGAACTTTAGATTATAACCACACATTCCCCTCCGCTCATTTGCTTACAGCTCCAAGTCCCCTAGTCGTGTGGGCACCTTGCATCCGAGAGAACGCATGGACATAGCATGCTTTCACACAGTGGTGCAGCGCTGAGGGCGAGGGCCGATGATGGCACACTGAGATAACGGGTCAGCCATGACAAAAGAAACCGTTGTCTCGCTGCCACTTGAGTGAGCGCGACAATAGATAGCTTCAACTGGGAATACCCCGAGGCTCGGCGCACCCAGCCGTTCCAATTACGCAAAGCCTATCCGCGTCGAGGAATGCATTTTCGTGGAGTGATACGTATTCCCTTAGTGAAGTATTTGGTTATGCAGTTGCTCCCCCGCCCTTGCCTGCTCGCCCAAATTTCCTCCGTCGTCTGCAGCAACAGATTCTGAACAGGGCGTTCCCAGCATTCCTTTCGGCGCCAAAACCAAGAGATGTTATTGGACGAAAAGGAGAGCTCTCCCATTTTCGTCCAATAGCGTCTCTTGGTTTTGGTTATCGTTGGGGGCATGTCCCTCCACACTTTTGGTTTCACCTCTGGTGGCCTCATGTCGCCTCCAGAAGCTTCCTACCTCCATAGTTAACTTGAACAACGAAACACCTTAGTGCAACATACAAGCGGCTAATTGCACAAAATCCCATGTTCACAACAAGGATATCAGTTGCCGTGGCAGTAGTTCAGGCACAGAAGGGCAAGATGCACTCTGCCTAAGCAACAACGGTACAACTAACGTTTAGTGTTGTCGTAGGTGCGGAGTTATTGTTCCGACGGATGTGGGACGCGAATCCGGGCAAGCTTGTATCATCACTCGGGTTCAATGGTGCAAAAGCAACAAAGGCTGCACTGCACCAAGCTAACCTTACTTAAAATGGGCTGAGTGTTGGGTTCAAGGAAAACGCTGAAGTTAGAAGTTGCACAGTATAGGACCCATACCCACAAAACCAGATGAATCAATAAAAAAAACATTGTACTGCCCACTTGCTCTTTATGCTTTTTTATGGGCGATATCTTTTTGGAATCGTTAACCAACACAAAATATTAGGTGTATACTTTTCCTAATATGTGACCTGGGACGCTCATGTAAACTTTTTGATTTCGAAACTGTCTCGTATTGTCGGTGTATTTGCTCGTTGTCGTGGTATTTCGCCACTTCATGTTAAGTTAAAAATATTTCACGCATTATTTCAGTCCCATTTGAATTACTGTCATCTCATCTGGGCTACTACAACTAAAACAAATATAAATAATTATTTTTGCTCCGGAAAAGGTCTTACGACACATTGCGGAAGTACATTATCTTGATCACACTGAACCTCTATTTACTAAGTATAATATCCTTCCTACTAAGCATTTGTATGAATACCGCCTGATGTGTTCCATTCGTTTCGCACCGCCATCAGTTATTGAATTCTTATATTGTATTTCGCAATTAACTGAAAGCCTCAACATCGTCAGCACACGTCGTACAGAGTTTTGGGCTATCCCTCGGTCACGTACAAGCTATAATCTGCAATCCCTGTGGCATATTCTTCCATCTTTGTTAAATACATATCTCACCAAGAACACAGATATATATTCGGCTAGCAAGAAAGACATCTTGTCGTATTTTATGTAGTTGGTTTTTATTGTATTTTTATTTTTTTTTTAATGAATTGTAGCATTTATTTTCATGTATCTATATGTGTGCGTACTGTGTATTCATTCTTTGTTTTCTCTATTGAATGCTGCTGCCTGTAAACGGGGGAGCCTGAGCCCAGTCAAGCTGTTCTTGAAGAGCTTTTTGCCTAGGCTCTTCTCCAGAATTTCTGGAGAATAAAAAGATTTGATTTGATTTGAATCATGCAAGAAACAGTTAATGCTTCGAACTATTTACAAAATGTTATACAGGGTGTTTGGTTTTAATTGTAACAGCTTTATTTGAAAGAAATCCGTGGATGGTACACTAATGCAATTTGGGCAGGCGAGTTATACGGCCAGGGGGACATAATGTGGGGGACAACTCCTCATGTTACGCTAGACTCGTCCAACAGGCACAAGGCTAGCGGTGCAACAACGCGGATGATAATGTTACCACTCGCGTTGTCGCACCCCTAACCTTGTGACTGTGGCATGAGTGCAAACTTTGGTGCACTCCAGCGCTCCCGTGCTTCAAGTCCATCGGAAAACCTAAGAGTTTTCGATGATGCTTAAGAAGCCGATAAATAATCCCCTACTATATGTCCCCCTGGCCATATAACTTAACTCAGTGGTTCCCAAATAGGAGTCCGCGGACCCCAGGGGGTCCGCGAAGACACTTCTGGGGTCCGCGATACCCTCAACAAATTTTTTTGTTTTGTTTTAGTTGGCACGTTTTTTGTAGTTTGAAGCGCGAGTGTGCCACGTATTGATGAACTGACCAGAATGAAGTGATGTGGCACTTTTGTTTTATGTTTTTCTGCTACGTAGCAATAAAAGGCACCTGTTTCATGCTCCAGATGTTAACTTACTAACGTCCCACCCCTCCCTCCCTCCCTCCCTCCCTCCCTCCCCCCCCCCCCCCCCCCCCCTTGCGGACCCCGCTGGAAGGGGTCCGCAAGGGGTCCCCGACACATCCATGGCTGGGAACCACTGATTTAACTGAACTGGATTAGCGTAACTTCACGGGTTCTTTTTAAAAATAGGTCTGTTCAAATTAACGTTGTTAACCCTGTATATGCATATATGCTTGGCTAATTTGCCCAGAACAAAACTAAAAACCGGCTTTGTGGCCAACTTTCGTTTCTCGGGTTTTGGACTCCAAAGGAATAGAAGTGATTTTGAGACTTGGGCGATCGTCACAGGTCGTGTGTTTCTGTATTTCACCAGGCTCAGATGCCTTTCACACAACAAGAAAACTTTGCACAAAAATTTTCAAACTGCAAAGGAACAGCCAAATGGCCATCAACACATGTTTTTATTCTTACACATTTAACAAGGAAACCCATAACCTAGCCTCTTTTATGACAATTTACCTGGTTTGAATAATGATAACTTTTGTTAAATTCAGAGCTATTGCATAAATTATACAGAAAATAAAAGCTCGGACATATACCTATCAACAGAACAAGCCCTACAATTTTCAAGGCAGAGTTAACATCTTCACACGAAAATGCAACCTGCACAGATATTTCTGCAGGGAATTGTTTCCTCTACCTTATTATTTTCTATGTTTATTATGCAGAACGAGATTATTTGTTGTTGCTTTGCAGGAAAGTAGATGCATGGGCTTTGTTCATACACGACACATCCATTACTCAAGATAAATATGGTAATTTGTTGCAATATCAGTTCAAAAATGAAACAAGAAAATATGTTTTAATACAGCCTTTTTGATAAGATGCGTACTATCAGGTGTGTACATACTAGACAGATTTTATTTTTTACACATCTATATATTACATTAATATAAATGAGACCTATAGATAAAATAGCAGATGAACGATTTTAATTTTCATTGCAGTGTTCTATTTACAGGTGACCCAAATTGCCAACTGCCTTGAAGAAATATCACCAATGGCCCTGCACTGGGTAGAAAAGGCGCTGCGAAATCACATGACCAGCCTCCACTGGCCTCCGCAGGGGCAAAACCGCACCCAGCGCTGCTCCCAGGCCCTGATAGTGCCTGCCTTGACTCCCGGTCGCACCATGGAGATGGAGAAGCACCTGCACCAGACGGAGGAAAATGCCCACATACTCCCTTGGGGGAGTGACAGCGCTCCTCTCCTCTGACTTCCCGAGACCAGATTACGCGTGCCTTGATCTAAGGTGGGACAGTGAAATTACACTTTCCCAAAATGTAGGAGTGAGTGAGTGAGAATATGTTTATTTCAGAAAGGGGACACCGGATACCTTGACGAAAGTCATCTTATCCAGTGGGGGATGTAGAGGGTAGGGGTTGGGAAAAAGGAAAAAAGGGAAGTGGTTATATATACTTCCTCTCTGGAGGACCTCTGTTGGGGGTAACCCAGTCTTCATAGTTTTGTGGTGTGAGTTCGGCGGCAAGTTTTGAGATCGCTTCCTGTCGTTTTCATGCTGTAGCTTGACAGTCCCAGATAAGGTGTCTGCAGGTAGCCGGTACATGGCATTCTGTGCAGTTAGGGTCAGGGCCCGGGTCGTCTTCTGATGTTGGTTTGTAAAAACGCTTTCGTAGAACTGGAGTAATGGCCGTGTTGGTAGCGAGGCGCCGGAGGCACACCCGCTCCCACCGTGAGTATTTTGATGGGAGCGGGTGTTCCTCCGTTGGCAGTAGAGCAGTCAACCTCGCTTTCCGCTCTTGTCTTGCGAGTGTCTTTATTTCATCGGGATCGGGGTCCTCGGTGGGTATTGTGGCGAAGGAGTCCAGGAGGCCTTGTGCGGAGCAGGTTGCTTGTAGCGTGCTCCGCGCGGCCTCATGGGCTTCTTCGTTTCCCAAGATATCTTGGTGTCCCGGAATCCATGAAATTTTGAGGGTGATTCCTTTAGTTCGGAGATAGCGCGCTGCGGCTTTGATGTCATTCACAGTCTTGTTACGGCTGCTGGCTTTCCTGCATTCTCTAACAGCCTCTTGGGAGTCAGTGTAGATGAAGAGTTCTGTGGGGTGCTCATCCTCTTGGGCATTTTCTAGTGTCCAAAAGATTGCTTGGAGTTCAGCGGTTTTGGCACTGGGGGTATAAGGGAGGATTTTAGCGCTTGTTTCGCCGGTGCGGAAGGAGTACCAAGCAATGGCTGTCCTACCGTCCTCGTTTCGCGACGCGTCTGTGTAAATGACTTTATTGGTCTTACATTGAAGGAGATGTTCTATCTTTTTTATGTGTCTTTTAGCAACATTTTTTCTTTTATTACAGTGCTCTTTGCTCTGGTTTTGGGGTATAGGCTTAATCTCTGTTATGCATTCGTCTTCCCATGGAGGAGGAGAAGTGGCTATAGCTGGAATTTCAAAGTCCGTTACTCCGAGGTGCTTAAGGATGATTCTTTCCGGTTCGGTTCTTTTGAGGCGGTCTCTCTGACTGTTTTGTGCTTCTTTTGCTAGTTCTTTGATTGTGTTTATTTGAGCCGCTTTGTGTAGGTCGGGAATGCGGGTTATCTTGGGCAAACCCGTGATAACTCTCATAGCTGCCTTGTTAAGGGTTTCAACTTGATCTTGCCGGGTCTTGGTAAGACGAAGGTAGTTATAACCGTAAATGGCTTTGGAGACGAGCAGTGATCGTACCAATAGTTTTAAAGGTTTTTCTTCTGCCCCCCAAGCTTTGGTTGTTGTTCTCTTGACAAGGTTAAGGCCGCGTCTCCATTGTATCTTAATCTGGTTCAGCCAGCTCCGTGCTCCCCCATCCTCGTCGATTGTGAGACCGAGGACCTTTACACTTGGTTGTCTTTGAATTTTGGTGCCATCAACGTACAAATTAATGGTGTCTCCGATGTTTTTCTTTCTAGCCCTTTTTGAGGCGACGACTGTGTAGGTAGTCTTTTCGGCTGAGATTATCATATTTGTTTCATGCATAAAGTTCATTGTAACATCCAGGGCTTCTTGAAGTCACCTTTCTTGAATGTTGGGTGTGCCTTTGTTGATCCATAAGGTGACGTCGTCAGCGTATATAGTGTAACGTACGTCTCGAATTGCCTCCAGGTGGAATGCTAGGTCAGCCATGGCCATGTTAAATAGTACAGGGGAGATGACTGCTCCTTGGGGAACTCCTACCGTGTTTCTTGTGAGGGGGCTCATGGTGCCTCCAATGTGAACTTGAAATTTGCGTCGATGAAGGAAGGATTTGATGAAGTTTAGTATTCGTCCACGTAGGCCTCGATTTTTTGCTCCTCGAATGACTGTTTCATGTGGGATGGAGTCGAAAGCTTTTTTGATGTCGATCGCCACTATTGTACGAGGCTGTACTGTAGGTTGAAATTTGGTTATGTCATTGTGAATCATGGCTAGACTGTCTTGTGTGGACAGGTGTGGACGGAATCCAGTTTGCATGGGGTGTAGCCTGTTGTGTGACTCTAGGATCCAGGTTATTCTGGCCAGGAGCATACGTTCCATTACTTTACATAAGTTGGAGGTTAGCGAGATGGGTCGGAGGTTCTGGATGTCATTGTTGGGTTTGCCCGATTTCGGAATGGGAATTACGGTGGATATCTTCCAGTCATCGGGAAGTTGACCGGATTCCCATATCTCGTTGTATTTGTCTAGGAGCTCACGCATTTCTTCATCCGGAAGGTTTCGGAGTGCTGTGATGGTAATGTGGTCCGGGCCTGGAGCTGTGTTGCTTTTTGCTTTCGCTAGAGCGTCCAAGAGCTCACCCATGGTGAAGGGGGAGTCTTCTGGCATTAATGCGTTTATGGGTTCCGGCGCATAGCAAGTATCCGGTGGTTCCTTGGCTGGTTGAGGGAAGAAACTCTCTCCCGCTGCTTTTGCTAGCTCTTCTTCTGTTATGTTTAGCCGTAATGCGAGGTTGGAACCGGTGTTTTTGCTTTTGGTTTTGCAGTTCATTCCTCGATGTGTGTTCCATACCTTCTTTAGTCCAGTCTTTTCACCGAAGGAGCTGCAGTGTGCCCACCATCTGTTTCGTCTAAGTTCGAGAGTGTATCTTTTGGCCCTTGCCGTGGCTAAGTTAAGTTTGGTCCGAAGTGCTCGATTTTGTTTATTTTTTCGGTATCTCTGGAGCGCTTGGAGGCGACTAGCCCAGAGATTGAGGAGATGAAGGTCGGGTATAGGAGAATCTTCTTTAATCTGGTATACTGTCTTTGCGACCTTAAGGGCCCGCTGGATACGGGTGGCAAGGTGTCCTTCCTTGCTTGCGGCTAAGGCGGTGCGGAAGACATCCCATTTCATGAATTTCGCCTGATGTTTGGCTGGAGTGGTTGTTTTAAGTCGAATGACTATGGGCAGATGGTTGCTGCCCATCGGATCTGGCAACGTATGCCAGGAGGCTTTGAAGTTCTTCGTGGCCCAGGTGAGGTCCGGGGTTGTGTCGTTGTGCCTCGTGCTTGTTGCGATCCTTGTAGGGGTGTCGGGCTCGTTAAGAAGGACCAGCCTCAGTTGCTTGCATTTGCTGGTTATATTCCGTCCTCGTTTGTTAGCTTTTTTGTACTCCCACTGTGGGTGTTGGGCGTTCATATCCCCAGCGATGAGTGTGGGTGTGGTGCCTTGCACTGTGGCATCGAACCAGTCTGCGTCGTCTCCTTCTTTCTGTCCCGGTCTAATGTAGACGTTGTAGATATCGAATTGTTGATTGCCTATGCGTAACTTAACTCCCACAACTTCTCTGGCTCCGTTACATATTTGCGAGGTATCTATTTGTGATTGTGTTGTACTGTTCAAGACGAGGGTGCTTGGCCATAGGTTGTACCAGTGGATTGTTGGCTTTGGTAGTTGCGGGATCGTCGGACGATGGTGGGATGAATATATGTAGTGTACCCTCGAATATTGAGGTTTTCGACGTTTGCTTCCTGTAGGAGGATGACGTGTGGTTTGTTTTCCCTCATTTTCTCTAATCTTTCTTTAAGTTCCGCTGCCTTGTTATTAAATCCCCTGCAGTTCCATTGTAGAACCCAAGGAAATATCGCCTTACGTTTTGGTTTGTTTTCTTTGTTGTGTTTGGGCAAGTTAATCATTTAGTCGTTTGAGGATATCTCGTAGGGTTTTCGAGATGTCCTCGAGGGATTTTTCGACTCTGTCCATGCGTTGTTCCATTGCCGTTAGACGTTGCTCGCAGCTGGTGTGATTATGTTGTTGTTGCCAGTTTGAGTTTCCGCAATTTGTGGCTGGAGAAATTTGCAGGTTTGCACGGTTGATGAGGTGACATCTGAAACTTTTCCGAATACCATGGGTGGAACGTACGGATTGACATGGCGAGGCACTGCCCATGCTCCTTGTGGGGAAGGGTTAGTCCATGATTGTGAAGAGTTTGATCCAGGGGGTGCCCAAAATGTAGGAAGCAGTTCATAGCTTCAGGGGCCACCATTAAAAGACCAGTAAAGAGGTGAATGGAAGAAATTAATAATTACATCAATCGCTTATAACTTTTTTTCTCTAAACTGCAGTTAACTATCGTCATCTGAGTGTGTAACGTGTGTGCTAAGCTAATGGCGGCGTTCTTGAGGCTGATTAAATGACAAACCATACAACATAAATATTAGAACAAAAGTTCAATGAATTCTCCAAACAGGCAGAAGTTTTCTTAGACTGATAAGGGGTTGATCAGCTAAGCCTCAATTAATCAATCACTGGCCACCAGCAAGATGTTGTTCTTGTAAGTAGATATTGTCTAGTACAGACTAGTAAGTATTTCGTTTCTCTAAAGATCAGCAGCTAATTAAAGGCTATGAAAGTCCTTAAAAATCGCAAAGATCTGCGAACAGGAGAATGGACGATTGGCGCCCTGCCCACCTGGTGCAATGTCTGGCGGCCGAAGGGTTGCTGCCGAGGCCAATGTGCCGCACGATGTCCACCTTGCTGGGCATGGCCACCGACCCTTCCACGGCGTGCAGCTTCGACGGTATGTGCAAGAAGTCCGGCTGAATGCCAAACTCGAATGGGAGCGGCAGTGAGTTCAGGAACAGGGCTGGGCTGGCCACGCCTGTGCACCCAGACAGAAACATCCCTCCTGAACATACGTGTATCACTGAGCAAAATTCTGTGCTTCAGTAATCAGCAGCTATGGTAGTGTTCGCCGTATGATACTTGACGAGGTAAGGACGGCAGGGAGGAACTCTAGTTGTTCCGCCTCTGGCACAAACTTCCTACCTTCAACAAAGCTTCAACGCTTCAAGTGGTAAAATCCACTTGGAGCGCATTCACAGCCGAAGCACGGCGGAAGGCATGAGGCACGTGCTCGAGGCAGGGCATTCTAAAAATGCACCCTGCCGTTCTCACTCTATCAATGAGTACAGGAGAGACAAAATATGACACTATGAGGAGAATTTAGAGGACAGCAACCGAAACCATGTGCATTTTGATGAAAGTACTTGCCTTCTGCATGGTTCCCAAGGTCTATGGATGGAATCAGTATCTGGCTTGGCAGGAGACAGCATTCATCTGAGAAACAAGTTCAACAATAACAGAAAAGGCATAGTGGTAGCACCGCCATCTGCCGGAAAGCGCAAAAAACGAGCTACCTATAGACCATTCCATTTAGCGCTCTTTGGGCGGCACCATTTTGTTCGACAGCAGCGCCCTCTCCATACATCCGGGAAATTCAGCGGGTTCGGCGGGGTAAAACGAGAGAGAGGGCACGCGCCCGACTCCGCTAGCAGACGACAAACCGGGAGGTTGCCATTCTCCATCTTTGGGCTGTATCAACGGGCTGTACGGAATATCGAACTCTCGCTCGTGGCTGCCATTGTGAAGTGGTTTGCGTTCTTAGAATAGTTATGGCTACTCCAAAATCAGCCTAGAGCTCTCTGTTGTTCTACTTCAGTAAATGATCAACTGACATATCGTTTTTCCGTTACTTAAATAGCAGTTGAGTCAGCCGGCAGAACTACCCTCAACTACTGCGTGTATTGCGACAGGAGAGCATGTTTTTATTTATTATTTCAGACATCCACTCATGGTTGCTAAAGGCCTACACCAGTACGAACTTTGTATAGTAAAAAAGGTACAGCCACCGGATTCACTTTTCGCCGGAGAGAGCGGCCAGTCTCACACAGATTTCCCTATTGTTTTTTTTTTATTTGCATGCAAATAACAGCGCAATTGGACTCTGTTAGTCTTTTTTATCTAGCATAGTAATACACGATAACTGGCATACCAAAATCTGTGCATCTGCGCTTGAAATTCCCAAAATGACGCGATTTTAAACAGAGTTTGTACGCCAGCCGGATGCTAGGTACCGCCCACTTGGCGGAGCAGACGACATGCGGGCGAGAGGGGGAGGGGATTTTTTTCTCTTTTTACCCTCTCTGCTATGACCCTAATGGAACGGTCTACAACTGAGACACAAACCAGTCCCATGGTCAGGCTTTCTGGTCCGTCATGGAGGGCACGAGTATCAGTTGTGATTAGTGACCAAGGGGTTAACTCACATTGTGCAGTAGCAATACAAGCCACACATTGGTACAATGTTCATTTAGATTGAAACAGGTAGGCTCTAAAAGTTGTGCAGCGCGAGCTTTTGCCCCTTGTGCTACAAGCTGCAGCTATATCCAGGTAAAAAAGAAAGTATCTAGAGCAGGGGTAGCCAGGCTGACCCGACCTAAGAGGCACAAACAAAAGCCACGAAACTTCTAAGAGCCGTGGGGGGGGGGGGGGGGGGGGGGGGGGCGAACTTTTGTTTAGAGCAATAAACAAAACTCAACTCTTTTTAATCTATCCAAGTCAAGAGCAGTCCAACTGTACGTAAGGCAGCAGTAGCACAAGACTACCAAACCACAACCTGTCTTTCGATTTAAAACGCGTTCCATTTCTCTTTTTCGGGAAGTGCTCATGTGTTTGGGAGGGAGGTGGGGGGAGAGCCGTGAGCCGCATTTTAACACGTGAAGAGCTGCATGCGGCTCGCGAGCCGCAGCTTGGCTACCCCTGATCTAGAGCATACCTTAGGTATGTTTTAGCACAATTAACTATAACTGTGTTTTGGGTATACTTTTGCAGTAACTGTTACGACTTTGCAAGTGATCAAAGGAGTCCATTTTTGCTGCCAGACAGCCAAATCAACACCCAACTATGAGAATATCCAGTGACTTTGGCTAAGCCTACATGAAGGCCTTGCTTACCGAGGAGTGTCTCATCAGGCTCAGAACCATGATTCAGCAGTGTCTTTGTAAGGAGCTTGAAAAGCAGAGACAAGATGTCCAAGTTGTCTGGAATTAAAGCCATTCAATGAGCGCCAAGAGGACAAGTGAGACGGCACCTATAGCAGCAAACTTCAACTTCAATAGTTTTTTTTTTTATTTATCAAACACATTTTAAGTAAAGGTGTGGCGAATATTCTAAATTTTTAATATGAATCGAATATTTTCCTTATTCGAAACATATTCGATTTGAAAATTGTATATTCAAAAGTTCCCGAATATTCGGCCAAAGCTGAATATTCGGGAAAAAACGATGAAAATTCGCACAAACTGTGAATATTTGAGCAAGTAACCAATAATCTGCCTGCTACGCATTCCCCTATGAATATGTTTATTCACTGAGAAAGTCGTATGATGCGTGTGTTATCGGTCTGCTCCGTTTCTATCTGTCCGATGGCAGCAAGACAGGATCAGTTTCGGTTTCTTTTTCACCAAGCCCTTTGTTGTGTGGCACTTTTATGGCAATATGTGATGTATTTGTGCGTTCTATAAATTGATACAAGAAAATAAACCTCGAGAGTGAAATATAGATATAAAATAAATCTCGAGAGTGTTATCTAATATAAATGTTTGAAAAGTAAAAAAAAAAAAGAAAAAGCTAGGTGCGAGCAGAACATTGCATCGCCATTGACAACAGCTCCTGCCACTCCCGCGCAGTCAAAACTAAACGCTATTTCACCTTGAAGGAAAGGCTACAAGCGTGAGCTCCTTGTTCTAGGGCACATCTCGGCGGCACAAGCTCTCGTGCATTAAGGGGCAGCTGCCAACGCTTTGGGCTCGCGCTTCTAGCCTTCGCTGCGGTACAACATAAGGTGAAACGGAGTATAGGGATGTCGCGAACCAGCCCAGGTTCAAGTTCGACCAAGTTCAACTTCTTCAAACTTTCAACGTGATGTTCGACAAAGGTTTGATTGAAATTCAACTTTTGTGCGCATGTGCAAACATTAAAGAAAAACAACTAGTTGATTTTACCTAGCGGAGCAAAAGTGCAATACATTTGTTGGGTTTTTTGGCATCATTGGTTCACATTAATAACTAATGAAAGCGTTAAAAGCACATATTTTCGCTTTTATATGGTGTAAGCATTGGTAAACATATTATGAAATATAAAATACTTTCTAAATTATTTGTTTCCAAAGATTCAAAATATTTGTGTAGCAGCCGGGCAACACTGTCCATAAGTCGAGCTTCTTCTAACTTTAGTGAAATTTCGCAGGTTTCCCGAGTGAAAGGGTCTTCTACTGGCGGAAATATTGTCACGGCGCGTAGGGAGCGCTTACTTTCTGAACACGTTGAGCAGTTAATTTTCCTACAGGATAATTTGTAATGAGTGCATTACTAGAAGTATCTTTATCCTGCTGCAGCCTAGTAAAATGCAGTTGCATTGATTTATTTTAAAAAGGCAATGAAACTTGCTGTTACCTCTTGTTGTGCACTTTTTCATTACTAGAAACATATTCGAAATTCGATTCAATATTTGAAGGCTGTTTTTTTGTCTTATTCATATTCGATTCGTATACAAAAATTTTAATATTCGCACACCCCTAATTTTAAGCCTTTGTCAGATGCAGGAAACCCGAGGTGTTCCACTTGTCCTTCTGAGCAACACAGCACAAGCACAATCTTCGGTTAAAATTGTATGTCTGCGTCGGTGTCCACAATTGAATGAGACCAACATCCTATGTCATAGGTGTTGGTCTCGTTTTTCACTGGAAGGCAGCTATGCCTTGAAATTTCACAAGGTAAAATTCACCATTAAAATCCACCTTTGTTGAAAATTTGAGGTCGCTGCAATCAGGTGCCGATTTTTCTGGCCGATTTCAGAGTAAATCCCCATAATGCTAACATCCTATTTAAAAAAAACATCCTATTTAAAAAAAAGTGGATTTTGAGATCATCTTTTTATGGTGCAAACTTCATCTATGCAACCTAGGCATCCTAGAAAACTAGAAATTACTATCACGTGGGGCCTTTTTCTTCACCCAAAGTGCCGCCAAACATAGCATCACCACATTTTTCTGATACAAATCTTAAGGGTGTATCAGAATATTTGATAGAGCTTTTTATAAAGAAAAAAAGTGTCCCATGATTGTAGTTTTAAGTTCTTTTTGGATGCCTAGGGCATGTAAATTGAGTTTGCTCCATAAAAAAACGATTTCAGAAACTGCTTTAGCGCCCCTTAAACACGCTGCATCAAGAAACAAATGAAAACCCCAAACTAGCATCTTGCTTGGATCATAATTTTTGAGTGGAAGTAAGGCGCAATTGGAACATGCTGCAAATTACTGGGCATGAATCCACACCTATGCAAGGTCCCATTTTTTGGCTTTCTAAAAGATATCCTAAATTAATTTTAGCACAGAAAATATACAGAAACACCTCTCCTCTAACAACCACAGAGCTGAGAATTCAATGCAATTATCTTCAGAATCGTATTTCATGAATGGGTGCTTGTTCAGTACTTTATGGTAGGCTTGCATGTGCAACAGCTTTTGGAAGTCGTCTCAGCCCCTGCTCTATCCGAAAAATGTCAAAAGTCCATCAAACACATGTCTCGTAAACACCCAAAAAAGTTTAAAAAATCAATCAAATTATAAATGCTAATAGTATTTGCATTTTCAACAATTTTTTTTTAAATCTACCCAAAGCTTTTGTTTGCACATGTTCCAGACCCCAACCCATGCGTGGAGGCATGCAGCGTGCTGAAGGGAGCTCACCTGTCATCTTGGTGTAGGCCGGTAAGCAGCTCTCGCTGATGAATCCCCACATGCGGAAAATGACCAGCAGCTCGCGCAGCATGTTCAAGGACTTGGGGTCAGCTATGAGGCCCCCCTGCAAAAGGGAGTAAAGCTATAGACCAATTCATGTTTACAAACAAATCGGAGTGCCGCTAGTGGATGTTACCATTGCTGTGTATGCACGATGGAGTGTGAGCAAGAAGTTCGCCGTCGCCCATAATACAAACCATTGGAATGCAATGTTGTCATCGTCAGTACGAGTCCCCGTGCTCTTTTTCGCGGTGGAATTCTTAATTCTACATCTTTCAAGAAATGTCCGACTACTTTAGTGACCTCAGCAAACTTGAAGACGCACTGAACGTAGTCCGCAGGGGGTTTGTACAACTTGGCGGTTTTTTCGCGTTCATTATAGAACAAAACAAGTAAATCTGATACCCACAAGTAGGGTGCCTTCATGTGCGCTTTGCTTAGGGTGGAGACATCTGGCCATTTTGTCCCACACTTTTATTTTTCTTTTTTGTTCAGAAGTGCGTGAAAGAGCGTGACCCTGCACGCGTTTGTAGCGCTGACTGTGCTATGGCGACATTTTGTTTTCGTCGATTTCTTTGTATTTTACCAGTGAGCGCGTGCTGTCGGCAGTGGGTACCACAAAGGGTGGCATCACCCTGAACAGAAGGACATTGAGGCACCCTAGCCACAAGTATCCGTGAATTCAGTCAAGTGTTTCCCGCACAAGCAATCGTGGCCAGACGGCATCTGGTTCTCCTTTTTCACGGCCCCTATCCAAGATCTCGGACGAACCGAGCAGGCAGCTAACAGATAAAAACTGACCTTCAAACCTTTCCTGACTCTTTTGGTACAGCCCCAGTCGCGGCATTTTAATGCGAAAGCATTAACTGTCCCATGGAGCGAGCCGAAGTCATCTGCCACGTCAAACAACACATTAATTCCCGAAGCCGCGGCCTGAGGCATCCCAGCTTTGAAACTATGCAGAAAGCCACGCAAAACGGCAATGATATGAAGCTGCCGCACATCAGTTTCAATTAGTACCACCCTATGGTGCTGTGTGCCCGCGCCGGAGCAGAAACGGCCGAGCCGCCCACTGATCCTCTCGGCGCCTCAGCCGTTTCTGCTCCAACGCGGGCACGCAGTGCCAAGAGGATCAGAAGTGGCCTCGGTGCCGAGAGGATCAGAAGCGGCCGTGGTGCGAAGAACGACATTCATGCTTCTGCATTCACAACTCATAAGAAGTGCTTAGGTGTACCTCCAGACTTTTTGATGAGAAGGGAGGTTTTCGTCTGGTTTCCTCCAAAGCAACACAAGGATGCACATCCCGCATGGTGACTTCCACCCACTGCCCCAGACCGGAAGTGTGCCCAACGTGCTATCACCGTGCCATGACGTTGCAGAGCTGAGTTTGTGTATACATGCTCCAAGACAAGGCAGCTTGAAAACCTTGTACTCGTACGAAAAAAAAAGCAAGAAATATAATATAAAAAAAATTGCATCAGCCTCTTTGCAGTTTGTAGTACTTGATATAGACTTTTTCAGCGGCAGTCTCAAACGAAGTGATTAACAGCGCGCGTCCATGGTTTTGAGAGTGTATGTCAGTGTTGCCTGACTGCGCTGGGCTGTGGCAGCTTGCGTTGGTACTATTCCGGACGTCGTTAGTAAATATAATTAGGAAAGGTTATGGTGATGGTGATGAAATGGTTGTAATACGGCATGCACACATCGAAGACGACATCAAAGACGACATCTAGGACGATGCCAAGGACGGCGTCTAGGGCGAACTAAGAACGACGTCTAGGAGAACTTCTAGGACGACGTTTAGGACGACATCAAGAACGACCTCTAGGACGACCACAAGGACGACCTCTGCAATGACCTCAAGGACATCAGGTCATGTCAGCCTCAGCTACCAACATTTATGAGCTCACGCAACCGGTGCTTACGCGACCGGCGCTTACGTGACCTTGATTACGCGACCATGCACTTCAGCCATGGGCATTATGTAGCCTTGATTACGCGACCTTGAAGACATGATCATGAGGACATGAACTTGAGAACGAGGACACGACTTTGAGCATGGTAGGGCCTATAAAGCTACCACTTGAAAAAATCCCGAGGACACCTAAGCAGTTTGTATGAGCTGTGAATGCGAAAGCCTTGATGTCCGCTCCCTTAGTTTGTCTGCAATGTACTGACGTGGACAGCCACGTTTCGGTATAACCGAGGTTGCGGCCGCCGCCGATTTAGATGCTTCAGGCGCTGCCATATTCCTTGGCGCTAAGAAGAGCAGACGAGTGCAGCGGTGCGCCTCGCAGACGGAGTGAAAAGTTCTGTTCACTCTTTCCCCGCCCCCTCACCAACTACGCCTGACGCGGCGGCCATGCCCGTGCCACCCTCTCCCTTTTATTGGCGCACGGGCTGCAGCGCCAGAGGAGAGAGCTCCTCTGTGAGGTGGCGTTTCCTTGGAACTATTATGCGTCGCGCAGTCATTTTGACTGCCGTTTATTCAGGAGCCATTTTCCGCGGTCACAGCCAACGCCGGCTGCACTCCATGGGACAGTTCATGCTTTCGCATTAATAAATTTGGTTTATATGCTTTGGTCTGGCCTCACGCACCGGCCATGCTTTGAACATCAATCACTTGATGCGACAGATGTCAAGGACATCAGGTCACGTCAGCTTCAACTACCGGCGCTTAAGAGCTTACGCAACCAGCGCTTACACGAATGGAGCTTTACCAACTGGAGCTAATGCTTCACTACATCTACGGGCATTATGTGACCTCGATAACGTTACCTTGAGCGTTATTGGCCTCTCCCTCTTCTTCTCTCTCTCACTCGAGCAAACAGAGCTTGTCCAACCGGCGCTCCCTCCCCCCTTCCTGCCTTTTTCTTTTTCCCTCTCCCTCCCTCTCCTCCTTCTCTCTCTTTCTCGCACGCACGAGCAGAGCTTGCACTATCAGTGCTTACTAAGTCACCAGTGCTTGTCATGGGCGTTATGTGACCCTCATAACGCGACCTTGAGCTTCCGCCAAGGGTGTCACGTGACCTGAAAAACACGACCTTGAGGGCAAGGTCATGACCTTGAGCATGGTTAGGCCTATACAAAGCTACCGCTTTAGCAAATGCATTTACATAATGTGCTCCCAAATTGTAATCTAAGCAAATAATAACCTCTTAAATCCACACACACACAATTATCAGACACTTTCTAGAGGCTGTCATATAAAATGAGCAATTGGTTTGCTTGGTTATAAGCATATTAAAAGACATTCCATGGCCTCAGCCAAAGTCACTTTCAAGTGGCAGTCTGTTGGACAGCAATGGCACTGAAATGCCACTCCCTTGACCGAAACGAGTGCTATGTATGGACTGCACCGTCCCTCGTGAGCACTTGTTCTATCCAATAAACTGGCAGACACTGCTCTCTTGCTGGAAAAACTTTGGTCATTATCCTTCAAATGATGTCAACAAACTGTCCTAACTTTGGCATCTGTGAAAGAACACAAAAGTTGATTGTAAAAGCTCCAAACCAACTAAAATGATTAAATAAATTGTAGAATTGTGCTAGCATGTTCTTCTAATAAAAGAAACAACAAAAAAAAGTAAAATTTGGTTACAGACCACGAGTTTGAAAGTGAAGTGTTTTACCTTAGCGATAAGATCTGCACCTACATAGCCCGAGTTAAGGTGACCTCAAAAAGCAAGTCCACTAAATTGCCTACATTGAGTAGGCCAAAAAGTTTGATTCAATGCCCAAAAATAAAAAATGATAAGTAAATATTGCCCTAATTGTAATAAGACACCCACTGCAACTGCCACCTTCGACTTACCAGGCGAGTGAGCCACTATTAAAGAGCAAATTCCGTACCCATTTTAGGGGCGAAGCTCCTTAGGGGCTAGCCATGTCCGCATGTTCGTCCGATGTCCGGCGTCGGGTGCTCGTGCTCACGAGCACGTGCTCCCGTGCTCGTGTAGGGCAAAAATTAAACAACCGCATCTCCACGTGGTGAATGATGTTGACTGGGGCGAAGCTCTGGTGGTGCTTGTCTGCGTAGACGGTGAGCCACAGCATGCCAAACCTTTCGTTAGTTTTCATCCATGTCAGAAAGAGAATGTGTGGTATGGAACGTGGTTATATACGCATTTTAGCATTTGACCGCAGCGTGACATGGATGTAAACGAACGAAAGGCTCGGCATGCTGCGGCTCAGCGTTTACGCAGACAAGCACCACCAGAGCTTCGCCCCAATCAACATCATTCACCACGTGGAGATGCGGTTGTTTAATTTTTTCCTTCCTTCTCCCCCAGACAACCCTTTAAAAGCATCAAACACGGGGCCGATTAGCGCTATTTCTTTGCCAATGCTTTTCTGCTTCTCCATTTCTCGTCCGGTGCTCAATCTCTTCCTCACACACACCGTAGAGAAAGAGGTTACAAAATCACGGTTGCCTGCTCTGGCACGTCAGGTTTCGGCCCCAGAATTTAAGAAATAGTACTTATTTTGCGAGACGAATCCGGCAGAGTACAAAAAGCAAGTAAAACACAAACCATGCACGTGACATCAGCCAGGCTGCCCGGCGAAGCGAGTACAGCGCTAGAGCAAGGGCACCTGGGGGACAAGACCTGCACCTTACCAGCTTTAACGTCGTCACTAGTGAGATCATGTGCTGCCGCCTATCTTGTGTCCGCGTCGCTGCGAGCGTGCCTTGCAGTGTCCCACAACGAATGTAGTACCAGCACAAAGCGGTGGCGAGAGGCACGCGTCTGCCATCTTGCCGCATATTCTCGCCAAGCTTCAGCATGTCTGCCATTTGGGCGGGTCACGGAGCCACTAGTAACAGCATAATACGAGGGCCTTTTCCGGGCAGTCCCGGCCAAGGACGGGGAAGGAGAGGATCTCACCCCCGGGAAGCGCATGTGGTTGTAGACCTGCTGGGGCAGGGAGGCCATGAGGTGGAGGGTGAGGTCGGCCACCCACTGGGTGAGCTGCTGCAGGGACTGCAGGATCAGGGGCTCCACAGAGAACTCCTTCGTCTCCAAGTGCAGCAGCACTTTGTCCAGGTTGGCTATCACCTCCCGGCCGCTCATCACCGCTGCACCGAGGAAAGAGGGCAACGCGCCCGTTGAGACTGAAGTCGCGAGTTGACGTTATGGCGCGAAAAATCTTGGAAAATGCCAAGTAAGAACCAAGAGCTCGCAAAACATTTGTGGCCACCAGTTGCCACACTTTTCGGTTTTACTAATGTTTTGTGTGGACTTCTTACGAGTCTGCGATATGACAATTTCTGTCTACTAATACTGCATGCTCTCCAGTCTGCCAACCTGTTTCTGAGCTCGTACAAAGAAAAACAAACTGGTGCCCAACAGATGCTTTAAACAACTCATCCAGAATGCTTGCCAGGCGTGTTTCCGTGGCACTCAAAAATTCCAACCTGTTTCCCTCTACCATTGCACACAAAGCTGACTGAAACCACCGTCAAGACTAGGCACAGTCGTGAATAAGGCCGGCGAGGCCACGTATGTGTTCGGCCTCGCACTACGAGCACGTGTCATGCCAGTTGGGAGAAAAAACACTTCCACTGAGCGTTGACCGGTAGTGAGATTGGCAACTATCAACGTCCGACTATTTGACCTTGTAATCATCGGCAGCGCCTTGCTTGGGTGTGCCGCTGATAGCCGATGCTGATGTTGATAGTTGCTAATCTCGCAACCAACCAACGCTCGATGGAAGTGAGTCCTCTCGCTGCTGGAGTGATGCACGCACATAGTTCAAGGTCACACGCTCTTGCGGTTTTGTTGGTTTTGCCCACAACTGTACCATGGCTCAAGTCGAGGGTCTCGACTACAACTATCTATAACAAAATCATGTTCACTGGCTGCGTTACCACACCCTGTTATTGGGTGAGAATTCTTATGCCAAGAAAAGACTTAGGAAAGAAGAAAAATAGAGATACATTCCAAGTGCAAAATATGGAAGCTTCAAGGAGGTCACCAAGAAGCCTATGAAATAGACATGATTAAAACAGTGCAAACTTGACAAGGACAAAGAAGGCACACGTACAACAGGACTGGCGCTATGAAATAGCATTGGTTTTTTTTACCTGTCAATGTCTCGGCAGGTCCTTTCTCGTGACTGGACAAATCTCTCGGCCTGAGAAGCCCCTTCATAACGGCAGACACTGCGTTCAGCATGATCTGGGCATGGCAATCACCTGCCCTCGCCTGCCCATTGGCTAAGCACCTGCAAGCACCGTGGGTAATGTAGATTCAGTTGTCTTGAGCCTTGCAAACGTTTTCGGCTACAACGAGCTATGCTTTTACGTAGCGTAATATTCTGGGAGATGCTTCACCCCTATTTTTGGCTTGACTTGCTATTATTTCTTAAGCACCCACTCTCAGTAATCATAGTGCTTAGGTCAGTGATGGCCTCGCTGTAAATGAGGCTAGTTAACTATGGCGGGGTATAAGCAATCATTGCTGATTGGGTAGTACAGTCATCTCCGATTCATTGCCCTTCGCTGCAATAACCAGCTTGACAGACACACATGACCTAAAAATAGCTTATTTTTCTTTTTACTTTTCTCGATTTCACATTAAAAGCTAGCCCCACTACTCTTTATTTTCTTTTTATTTGTAGAGCCCTGCGTGTACAACAGTTTGATCATCTGCATCCGATCCACATCCGCAGACTTCGTATCCGCATCCGAACCGCATCCGCAAATTTGGAAATGCATCTGACCCTCCACCCATGCATTCATTTTACATCATAAAATCAAGCATGAATAAAAATTGTAAAAAAGCATCTGGATGATATTTTGTAAGCCATCTACTTTCCTTTGTACAAATAACCCTTCGTGTCAGAATACAATGAAAGTAAGTTTTGCGTATTTATAAAATAAGCAATCATTTTTCCAGAGGCACTTCGCATCACTGGAAAGATGATCGCAGCTATGAGAACGTCCTGGGAGTCTGTGACACTGACACTCTGTCCAGAAGATACGCTCAAAAAGAAGAAAATTTTAATAGTATTTATTTTTCTTTTGGCTGTATAACACCCACTTCAAGCAGACGCATAATTTATAAACATAAAAGTTAACAAAGGACAGACTCTTAAATCTTTCAGCCTTTCCACTCTGGTGAAGAAGGAAGAGCAGTAGAGCTGCAGCTTCTGTTCTCGGCAGTGGCTTTCCAGGCGAGCGATCTGCTCATCTTTTGCAAGGGAATCTGAAGCGCTCAATGCAGTAGAACTTTAGGCGATAGCGGCCTTGCGGCGGTTGCGGAACCATTCGCGCTGCTGCGCACATCGCCGCTTATTTCGTTCCCGCTCTTCTTCCTCCGAAGAAATGTTGCCGCCATCTATGAGTGATGGCAGCAACCAGTTGTCTGGTTGCCGAAGCTGGAAAGGTTGCCGCGATCTATGAGCGACAGCGACAAGCAGACAACTGGCAAACACAACACTCTGGACAGCTACTGCCATATATGAGCAACGGCGGCTACCAGAGTGTTGTGTCGACCACGGGTGTCGATATTTGTTTGGTACCGGACACAATCCTGGAGAAACTAGCCCTTAACAGCTTTGCTGTAAAAATTGTGTCATTTTATTCAGGCCAAACAACAAAAAAGTGGGAGAGGAAATGTGCTCACTCCCTGCAGCAAACTACTCGTGCCTATGTGCTGAGGCGCATGTACACCACTGTAAAAATATCAAAATATTCAATAATGACCGCATCTCCCATCGGTTTTAGTTTTATACATTAACCCTCAACTGCATGCTTGGAACTATATACTAGTATTTAAAAACAACTTTGTCCGTGCCAACTGCTGAGAAAAAGAAAATTCACACACACGCAACGCTTCGCTTGTCGAGGCGTTGCGCGTGTGTGTAGAAGAAACAGAAAATCGTCAACATAGACAGAATCAGACTGGTTCGCCCGTCTTAAATTAATAACCACTAATGAGCAATCTCTCTCCATTGGTGCCCTTGATCTTGGGACGGAATGCACCAACTGCGCTGCAAGAATGAGGTGTGTAAACTTGTGCTGACACGTTCCACCACTTTAGTGGATTGAATTCAATCTCCTCGATCTAGTTGTAGGCGAAAAAGCCACTTGGAGGCATCTACTTTCTTGTGGTTTGTACGTTTTGGGTTTTCTTTGCACCCCAAAGAATGTTTTCCGCTCTTTCCCTGCAAAACAAGTACAAGCTTCCCATAACGACTGATGCTTCTGTACTCTTTACTTTTTATAGGGACAACATTTTTGGCGAGATAGAATGTTCTAAAGCGATCTTTGGTGAGAATCAAAACTTTCTTGACGAAAAGAACAATTTTCTCCCCAATTGGCACCTTCTATCTAAGAGAGTAGTTTTCTCCCGCAATACATTCGATGATGCACTTGATAGTATCACTCACTTATTCACTCAACACTGCGCGGTCGCACACGTCTTATCGGCCGCCTCAGCAAAAATGTGGATCCGAACCCACGGATATCCGCATCCGCAGCCCCTGGCATTCGCATCCAATCCGTAATTTGCCCAAATCTGGTTTATTTTTATCCACATCCGCCAGTTTACTGCAAATATCCGTAGATATGCAGGGCTCTACCTGTTTGCTCTCGATTTTAGGTGGGCTATCTTTTGGGATATTACGGCAGTCAGCCCGGCAGTTTCGGAGTGAAAAGTGGTTAGCAAGCTAAGCTAATATTGCAGCAGCAATATAAGTCAGAAAGGAGCTTACAGAAAACAGTAACAATCTAGGTCTAATGTAGATAAAGTATTCCTATACTTCGTTTCAGCATAACTTGAAAAGAGGCAAAAGCTTGAACACCAGCGAGCCAGTAACAGTGCCAAAGCGAGGCATAAGACACTGTACCACTGGTGCGGACTCCAACATTGGAGCACTGCACCTGTGGAGGGCGGTCACATGTTTCTCTTTGCCATATAATTCGCTTACGCGAGCCATAGCTTCCGCAGTCTGCCAAGTTATGCTGAAATTAAGTATACAATGTAGTAAGGTGGTGAACTGGGCAAGTTGGTTGACGTTATACATGATGGGGAAAACAGCTCAGAAAACATGGACTACGAAGAGGAACAAACACGACAGGACAAGGCTGTGCTCGCAACTGAAGGATTTTAATAAAGGAAACAAAGAGAGAAAAAACATACACAGTATTTTAAAAGATTGCACAAAAACAAAGGACCACTCTCGCCAACCGTGAAGCGTGTTAATAAACTACCCGTTCACTACGTGACTCATTTTTGCCGCAGGAAGGAAATCTCTTTGGCTGACAGCACCAATGACGGTTCACTAATTTTTTTTATTGAACCATCGTTGGCAGTGTCAGGCCATTTTCTTCCTGCGGCGAAAAATGAGTCACGTAGTGAACGGGTAGTTTATTGACACGCTTCACGGTTGGCGAGAGTGGCCCTTTGTTTTTGTGCAATCTTTTAAAATAGTATTATGTTTTTTCTGTCTTTGTTTCCTTTATTAAAATTCTTCAGTTGCGAGTACAGCATTGTCGTGTCGTGTTTGTTCCTCTTTGTAGTCCATGTTTTCTGAGCTGTTTTCCCCATCATGTATACAATGTACATAGTGCTTTGAAGTAAAAATTCAGCACCCGAAGTGAAAGTTTGTGCTACAGAACACAAAGATTGTTCTTAAGTTCTATTTCTGCCCCTGCCAGCTTCAATCTGGATGAGCATAAGGCTGGCATGCAATTGTGTAGTCACCACGGTGCGATGCACTCCAATAGTCGTACAGCAGACACAAGATGTCATTTTAGGACAAACTAACTTTGTACTTTCTGAACCTTGTACAACAAACTTTTTTCGAAAAACGTTAATGCAAATGATTAAAACAATTCTGTTATTAAACAAAGAGTAAAGAGTTCAGGAACAAGTAACAAACCTGTAGAGGGATCCTTTGACTGTCAGGAACCTGCTGAGCAGATACTGCTGAATGCCAGGTGGTTGCTTGTTGAAAACTTCCGTCATCTTAGCGCAGACAGTCTCTATTACATCTGAAAAGAACAGGTTTGTGCCGGTACCGGTATTCACGGAATATTCAGCCTCAAATGACGACCTGTCCCTAATTTTACCCTTGTCTTTACCCCCACGGTGTTCAGCACCAAATGACAACTTGAACAAATGGGCAGTTTGGTGCTATCCTAATGGAGAAATATGTGTAAAATAAATTTAAGCAGTATTAAAAAAGTACTGCCTGTACGACACCAGACCAACACTATGCGCCTGATGTTGTTTCTGTCTATGGAACACTTTTGAGGGGCATGGGCAAAATGGCCATGACAATTCAGTTAACATATTTTCTGCTGCATAGGTTGCTGTTTTTGTTTCCAAAGATTTTGTCTGTGTTTTATGCAATGGTGCGACTTATATAAACTTCTTCTATAAACAGGAACCTTATACTGCACAAAGATCATAGGGGTGATATTTCTCGTTTGATTAATTGGTGATCATATTAAAATTGGCTCCTTCTTCTGCATGTATCACGATCACAATACACCTATGTGAGCTTATCTATGCCACTGTGCAGACTCATACAAAGGTGCGACCTAGCTACCAACTGTTTTGTGGAATCAGCCATTTATAGGGGGTTGTGGCGCATACAAAGGTGCAACCTATGGACTGGAAAATAGAGTATTTTTAATTAATTTATCTTGGCCAGTGGTTATTCTTGAACTAAATTGACAATTTCTACAGTATAGCAATTACTTTTTTGAGGTACATGGGATTCTTATGTCTCTGAAAGTACATTGCTTGACGACTTCAATAGGAAATGAAAAACATTCAGCAATGCACTGTGATAAAATTTCTCAGTTTGGAAAGTAAAAAAATTTAAAGATGTATGTTTGTAGTGCACAAAGACAAGAACCTTGAAGATGTGCTAAAACAAGACAGCCCACCAAAAACCAAGTGTGATGAACTATGTAGCCTAAATTGAGAAACAAAAAGTGCACAAAGAAGCTGGTGTAAATTGAACCTAATTACAAAAAAAAAACCGAGACTACCATAAAGTTCAGTTCCGAAAGAATGCCCACCCAAAATGTAGAGATAAATGGTGAAAAACATGGGGTGAGCTATCCTTGGGGATGTCATAGCAAACCTTTATCAAAAATTGTAGAACCCTTCCACTTCACATGAAGATGGAGGACCAATGAAGCTGTTATCTTTACGAGGTCTAGGACGATGCCTAGAGGACGACGTCTAGGACAACCTCAAGGACGACTTCTAGGATGACCTCGAGGACAACCTCAAGGACAACTTCTAGGACGACGCCTACAGGACGACGTCTAGGACGACCTTAAGGACAACTTTAGGACGAGCTCAAGGACGACGCCTAGGACGAGCTCGGACGACCTCAAGGACGACTTCTAGGACTCCTAGGATGACCCCAAGGACGGCTTCTAGGATGACCTCGAGGATGACTTCTAGGACGGCCTCGAGAACGACGTCTGGGACGACCTCTCGGACAACCTCAAGGAAGAATAGAAGTGGCGGGCTTTCTCTCAGAACTTTACAGTAGGGTAAAATAAGGGACAGGACAAATATTGTGTTTGTCCTGTACTTTATTTTACCCGTGTATCATGGTTTTTCGTAATTAGGTTCAAAGACAGCTGCTTGAAGACAAATATCAGTCAGAACCTTATCAATGACCTTGAGTAAAGTAAAAAAAACGCTACAAAGCATTATTCAAGATGTTTTAAAGATAAGTAAAGTACCAGCATGATGGGTACTCCTTATGCTGATGCCTACCAAAAAGTTGGAGCTTTGAGTAAGTTCTAGCAGCTCTAGGCAACCTACCCTTTTACTGTATCTTTGCCAAGGATGAGACCACGGTTCATTTTAATTGAGGGAAAAATTTTTTAAGTACTTTACAGTGAAAAAAGCCCAAGGAAAGCACATAGTAGAAATGTCAAGTGCAACTGTCTTCCAGGAAGTTAGTCTGGGTAAGTAAAGAATAACCGCCGGCCTCACGCTGGGCCTTTCGCAAGTGGGTTTGCCTGTTCCTCTGAGCCCTCTTAACAAACTTTCGGTTACCTCGGTTAAACAGCTTTGCAGAAAGCCGGCACCTTGCAGTTTTGCGATCTGTCGAGCAAAACTTTCCTGAATGGAATGCTCGCAAGATTTTTCGAGAGCAGCCCCAAGCATGTTTTGGCGACGCTCCTTTTAACTAGCTTAGAGTGAGCCGACCCATATGGAAGGATAGCCTTTTTGGATCTCGGTTCATAAGCTCAACAGATGTGGTCTTCTAGAAAACTAAATTTAATGTCTCAAAATTGTAGCTTCCCCTCAGAGGGAGTCTCAAAAGTAAAAGTCAAACCGTCCGTGCATGCACCAAGACAAGCAACATCTCAGATATAGCATTTCTTAAGGATACCTCAGCTGCCTCACTAAAGATAAGAAAATCATCTACGTATCTAAAAATTCTGGTCTTGCCGTCGTCTCCCAGCTTGTCCAAAATGGCATTATCACAGCTACTTAAAAAAAGTAACTGTGACAATGCTGCCGACCCATATGGCAAGACCAGAATTTTTAGATACGTAGATGACTTTCTATGTACCTAAAAGAAAAAAAAATTGTTTTTTGTATACTGCAACAAAAAAAATTTGGAAAAAACTTAAGCACAGAGCACGCCACAGTTAACAAGAACATGCGATCGCCGGCGTTTCCTGTATTTCTATCAATGTTCAAAAGCTGTAATCAAAACTGCTAGTGTCATACAATCCACTCATCTTGTCATTAAAATCTCACCATTTATCAAAACACAAACACACAATATTCTTGCATTTATGCCTACTCTGCCGTGCAGTGTGAATAGAAAAACTGCTCAGGCCCCTAATCGCAATGTTTCCAAGGAATATACACTGTTTTTTTTCTTCTTTGGAAAATTCACAGTAGGACTTCATTAGAAAATTACATATAAGTAAGACATTCTTCACTCGATAGTTGTAGTCATGAACTCAACTCACTGAGTAAACAGGTCGCTCTCCGAGCATTAGTGCCACGGTTATGACCATATTCTTGAACTGTACCACTCCTGCTATAGCTCTTGGAAGAGAGTCATGGTAAAGCTCAAATAAAAGATTTTGAAAACTGGTGCACCAGCTCACCAGGACGTAGACCGAGCAAGACGTCCCACCAGTCCGTGCCGGTCATGAGGCAATGCTCCAGGAGTGTCACCGTGTAGCTCGGACTGATGGGGTTCCCTGGACACCAAAAGACATTCGTTCGATACCCTGGAAGCCGTTTCACAGATGCAATTTCCAAGATTCCGATACCCTCTAGGCCACATACATACATAAACACATTTTATTTGAGAATTTTGTTTCAGTGAGTGTGTCTTTTGTCGAGAACTGAGAACAGCAAAGTCAAGATGGGCCTATTGCCAGAGCGAGTTGATTAAGGATTCAAAGATTCAAAATCAATGCATGAGCATGTCTCAACTTTCAGCAACAGAAAATGAAGGTTTCTCTCCAGCTACATTATGCACTAATTTTGGAAATAATAAGAATCTAGTCGCATTGTGGTGGTCAACATAGGTTGACGGCTCTCTGGTATCGTGCAGAAGATTGTTATTCAGGAAAACCGATAGAACTAACTTTTCAGCAATTTTCAGTCACACCCGGCGGTGGAAATGAGCCTACAACTAAGTGTTGTAGATAATAAAATCGAGTCAGTACTACCACTTCAAATGATCAATATTAAGGTAAGTTCAGTTACAAAAAGTTACAAGCAGAAACAGCAATTATCGCGAGAAAACTTGCATGCACCTTGCGAGCGTAACCCATGTTCACTGACGGTACAGCGTTAAATTCGGTGCTCGCTCCATTCACGAAATCTTCCGAGCACAGTCGAGAGGATGGCGTTGGGGAAAAGTCTTTTCGGTTTACGGACACAACCCAGTGCCAACGGAGATCGGGGTCACGTGGAAAGCTGCCGGCAGCGACACTGCAGCCACACTCGCCTTGCCGGGTTCCGTACAAGCTACATAGGTCCTCAGACTGTATTCAATGCTTTCTGTTGTTATTTGTGCACCCTATAACCGGGCAATGGTGTCCCGATGACTGGGGGACTGTCACCATTGAAGCCCGTGGCTGTAATTAAGTTTGGGAGTTTAAAACAGAGAAGTTTGTTCGATCTTTCTTCTCTGTTTTAACACCGGCAAAGCCTCTTACCAACACCGGCGAGGCCTCTCATCCGGGACTTCCATTCTTTCTAACGCACCAGCAAGGGGGAAAGCGCCGGTAGCCCTTCCCCCTCTTCTCTCTTGCCCTCTTGCAGTAAAACGGTCAATATCTTACAGTTTTCGATCACGAATGTGTTTTTCGCGCACTTCGCGTCGACCAAAAGAAGGAATAAATTCGTAACTGGTAATAAGAGACCAGCACCCACAGAACGCAGTGGAACCAACAGGGCACACAGAGTCGCCTTATCCAAGTGTTTACTATAAACGCGAGGTTCTGAAGTTTGGATTACAATATTTTTAACTTGATGAGCCATTCCTTCCTCTGTTTGCTCTCGTTCAGATAATAAAAATTACACCCCATTTGTTACGGTAGGTGATGACTGGTGTAAAGCCATGGATATTCTATTTTCATTATCCAACACTTTGGTACTGAGGTAAAGGACAGTACATCACCATCCCGTCATTTAAGCACTTCAGCAGCATAAGCGCTTGTTTAGCATTTATGCTGCTACGATAAAATGTCATGCCACAATTATCACTCCACCAAAAACAGGTTTTGCCGCATGACCCGAACAATGCATGAAGTGAGCCGATGAGCTAAGGAATCTGCGTCGTCTGCTCCGTTAGCTTGAACTCCTATCTGCTATGTCACAGCCAATGATGATGATAGCTAGAGAAGCGCCCCCTGCAGTATGTGCATGCCACCCATTTAGGTGCTATGTGTGTGTGCACGTGCAAACAACCTTAAGACAAAACTAACAAACATACAGTAATCCCTCGTTATAACGAAGTCAACAGGATGGCAAGAAATTCTATAAGAGCAGTAATTCGATAAAAGCGATAGAGCCAAAAAAAAAAAGAGTGCCAGTAGCCTTGAAGGCCTGTGGAACACTCTGACCACATATTTAATCAAACAAACCTTGGTTATGAACATCTCGCGGCAGATTTCATTTGATTTTCATTTACTTTGTTTATTTTTCATGCTCATGAACAGCGAGTAGCCTCAGTAACGATGCACAGGGTCAAAAGGAGCACACACAAGAAATCTAGAGCAAGTGCAACAGCTAACACCTATTATGGAAGAACAGGAAATAGGTGACAGTTAAGTATCTGCCATTGAACGCCTAAACGCTTGAACACTTGAGTTGGAAATGTCGATGATGGTTGTGCTTATGGTGTTATAAAAATGTTGGATGCAGTTCATGAGACTGGATGGGTTGATTTGTTTGACTTAAAAAGTGGGATTTACCCTCAAAAGCACTCGTGGTACATATATTAATAGCTGATGTGAGGGTTGAATAATCAATGCTACCATGAACGCATTTATACAAAAACATTACATCGCACTCAAATCTTCTCGAGCTTAGTGTAGTACAACCACATCGTCGTAAAAGCCTGTTATACTCATAAAAAACACTGCAGCCAATGTAGCGATCATAAATATTTAAAAAAAAATGTCTGTGCATGTTTCCAATTTTTGCTTGGTTTGCACTATGTACCAATACAATTCCCAACAACAGAACTAAATTCAAGCTCACTACGTACTAATGAAAAATACAAAATGAATATACCAGCTGACGAAGGAAATTCACGCGTTATTCTCGAAATAACACCTAGCATTTGATAGATTTACCGAGTAAAAAAAAAATAATTAAGTGGAGTTTGCCGATAATTTCATCTGGGCATCAGTTCTCCTCGAGCTTATGCAGAATGGGTTTCCAAGGATCTTGTTATTTAGAGCCCAAGTTTAGAAAAGGACGAAGTACCATCAGACTGGCTGACAGCGAGGGTTGTATCAGTGCATAAATCTGAAGACAAGCACTCCATAGAAAATTATAGGCCAATACAGCTTACGCGTGCATGCTGTAAGGTGATCGACCATATTGTATCGAAAGAGCTGTGTAGTTTTCTTGAACACTCAAACGTAATTCTTGTCAACCAACATGGTTCTCGAAGATCACTGTCGACAAACGCAGCTTGCTGAGACAGTTTATGATTTTGCCAAATCCATTAATGGCAGAGGGCAGATTGATGCGACATGCTTAGATCTTTCAAAGGCCTTTGACCGTGTGCCTCATGACGAACTTATCCAAAAATTACAAACACTTGGTGTAAACGAAAACAAAGTCTTATGAATTAAAGCCTATCTCAAAAATAGAACCCAATAAGTGGAGATAAAATGATTAACTTCAAGAATCATAAGCATACCTTCGGGTATTCCCCAGGGGTCTGTCTTGGCACCCATGTTGTTCTTACGTTATATCAACGACATATCAGAAAAAATTGAGTCAAACGTTACTGCCCACTTGTTTGCAGACGACTGCTTGCTGTACTCGAATGTTTCTTGTCATGATGACAAGGTGGAGTGGAATTCTTTACAGTCAGAGCAAAAACGGTATAGGCAATGGAAAATAAAATAAACTTCAATAAGGCAGTGTTCTCTGTAATAACTAAGAAAAAGAAAAATATCCTTCCTTTTGTATACGAATTTCATAATCAACCTCTTTTCCCACTTCCTCAATGTAAATACCTGGCTGTCATAATATCCTCTGACCTAAAATAAAACATGCACATCGACAATGTATGCGTGGCTGCCAAGAGGAAGCTCCGATTCCCTAAGCGCAACCTTAAACTCGCTCCTTCCGAAACGAAACTTACAGCTTCCAAAACGCTAATACGGCCAACTTTAGAGTATGTCTCCGTCCTATGGGACCCCTTCAGAGCGTATCAAATAAACAAAATTGAAAAGGTTCAACGAATGGCAGCTAGATTTATATTACCAAAGTATTGCAAAACACAGTGATGTAATTAGCCTAAGCCGTTTTGGAGCACCTTTCGGAGCAGCCAAAACAGTGTTTTGGAGCAGCACATGTGGCCTTTGGAGCAACCAGAACAGTGTTTTGGAGCAGCAAAAGTGACCTTTTGGAGCAGCCCAAACAGTGTTTTGGAGCAGCAAAAGTGGCTTTCGGAGCAGATACTCTTTGAAAAATAAAAAAATTTGTTTTAATTGCTGGACAAACGAAGGGCACTTTGTGGTGCGTTATGACAGAACTCGCTGTTTGTGTTTTACTGCTGAGACATCCCACAAGTGTACAGTGTTATAGGCGTTGCCGAGCAATTCCGAAAAGAACGCTTGCCACCGTTTTACTGGTTCCCAACGTGCCAGATTTTCGTCAAAAGTAAGCAAACGTAAAACAATGAATTGCAAGCGTCCCAACTGGTGCCTCTGTAATGCAGTCATGTTCCCATGCACGTGAGGGCAACCTCAGCAGCCTTGCAGTGGCACGTGCTTCGTTGCGCGAGCGGAGACAACGGCTGTTCAATCAAATTGAAACAATGCCACTCCCCTCCGTCGCCAGCTGGTTCCCAAAATAGTGTGCAAAATGTAACCATCCAGCATACAAAAAAAAAAAGAAGCAGTCGAGTGGCCTGTGCTTGCCAGGCCGGCAGGCGATGTACAAGCTAAACACAGAAAAAAAGAACCTGAGTACATCGATGCATGACATCGCGAGCCAGGGTCAAAAAGTTCTTGGAGTGCTTTGTGCAACGACCAAACTCGAGACGAACAAGCGCGATGTGTGGGTTCAACGTGCACACATTGCCTTCTTTGCTTTAGCTCACCTCTCTTCACCAACTTTCTTTCGCGGCAGATTTTTCACGTACCGGGCTCCCTCTCGAAAGAAAGTCCACCGAGAGAAACCTAGGAATATTTCGACAAGCAGTCTTTGAGTTAAAGAGGGATTTTTGTAGCAGTGTATGATTTAAACAAGGACAGGAATGTCGATGAACAAGTTTAGAAAGCGCCATATCTGCAGCGACGTCGCGTGACCACGGTGACTGTGGTCGCGTGAGCGTTTTAGCTCACAAAGTAACTCTCGCCGCCCAAAAACGTGGTTTTGCTTCACAGCATGATGGCATGGCTGGCACCCGGAACACTAGCGTCGGGGCATCCGCACACGCCCGCGTCTATCGTTGAAAAAATTAAAAAAGATGCGAGACGAGGGCACGAGCAACGTTGGGCACGAAGGGCGTGAGACGGCGGCAAGGAGGTTAGGACGGCGAGAAAAAACATGCAAGACCGGAAGGACGATTGATGCAGGGTACTTTGTGTTGGGTGGCCGCTTGAGCCACCTAGCTGACGCATGCGCAATTACGGTTCTCAGTTTAGTTTCGGTTTTGAAAGGCGACCGAAATTGCTCCTTTGGCACAGGCTTGGCGCAGATTCCCTACATTTTGAAAAAATGTAGCAGGATGTACCAGGGTTAGCCCCTTGGCGCAGTTTGGCACGATTGGCACAGCAATCACATCACTGAGAACATAATCAGTACAGCATATGCTTACGCAGCTGAAACTTCCACCTCTTTCTCAATGCCGAAAAATAGCACGTTTAAAATTTCTATGTATGCTCAAGAATGACATGTTTAATATCCACTCGAACTGCTACATAACACCCAGTTTATCTAGGCTCCTAAGAAGCAACCATTCGAGCCAAATTATATTAGAAAAGCAAACAACAATACTTTTAATTATTCATACTTCCCAAGAACAACAACAGATTGGAACTCTCTGCCTCAAGAAATAGTAAACAGTGTCAATATAGACGTGTTTGAAAAATGCTTGAGCCAACTGTACATTGGAAGTTAACTATCTCTGTTATTATTATTTATTATTTATGTGTATTGGCAAACATGCTATAGAGGAGATTTTACACTTGCAGTTTAAGTTTGTTATGTCATCCTTATATAGCATGTGTGTTGTAAGTTGGGCGAGTTGGTATGATGATGTGAACAGAACAACGCACAAATGTTCCTTTTCTCTGTCCTTGTCTTTGTGTGCTCTGTTCTGTTCATCATAGCACGTGTCTTTTTTTATGTGTATTTACTGCACTTGTTTGGTTTTACACTCATGTGTGCTTTCACTGCACTGTCTTTTTATGTGGCACGTTAGGAAGTCTTGTTTTTTTTTATTTTCATGTGTACCTCTACACTCCTGTAACAGCCCCAAACGGCTAACAGTATGACTAAATAATAAAAAAAACTGCACCAGGCATTGCAAGAACACTGTCACCGCCGCTGCACTCCATTGTGTTTCGAAGCAGCCGTAGGATGTTTCGCGCCTTTGCAGTCAATGGCGTTTCCCGAGGTGCCTCTGCAATGTCGCTTTGTGCTTACCCTGACCGCTTGCAAGGTCTATGATCGCAGCATCCGTGGCAAAAGCAACAACGGAAACGTTCGCATCGACAAGCGCGAACAAGTCAGCGCTATCCTCAGTGGCTTTGCCAACATGTTTTCACAAACTCCTGTAGAGATCATTGCAGCTTGGAAAATCGTGTGCCGGCTCGGCGAGTATGCTTGCAATAGAAAATCCAATGTGCACGAAGCAGTTGGTGATCTTTCATTTTCGGGTCACAGGCACGCTTTTTCCTGCATGAAAGACTTCTCGAAGCCATCTAATATGCCTTGCTTGTTCTGCAAAATGGTAGACAGTGTTGAACAGCCAATGCTCGAAAGTCGAATTCTTTTGTGATTTCGGACTTGGACTGACCACTTTTCTCAACTTTGCAGATCTAAACGAATTTCTGTAAACACTCCCAATTTCCCATACGATGCATGTGTGCATGTCGTACGCCGCAGGCACACCCGTGCAGGCGCGCATTGGGGACTCCCGAAAGGATAACCTCCTCTGAGCTCCATCGCTCCCTTGACATAACTCCGACCGGAGTCAGGCAGCGTTGGCCACAAGCGCCGTGAGTAGCGTCGGAACGTTGAAGCTGCTCCTGCCTGTATCGGTGCATCGGCATCGGAAGTGGCACTCTGCCAGCTCTGCCCTCCATCACCCGTTTAGTCTGCTTTCCCAGTTTGCCGTTTGCCTAGGTGGAGAAGGGGGAGGGAAGGCAAGAATCTCCGTGCGCCTCCGTGTAGGCTTGCGTGATTTTGACACCTTGGGCTTCGCAATAAGCGTGGTCGCCTGCCGATGCACTTCGAATAATCCAGTGAAAAATGTGTGCATATTGGTCAAAACCATGTTGAACTTTGATAAAAGCTATACAGTCAAACCTCGATGTAACAAACTTCTATGTAACAAAACCCTCGATGTAACGAAGTACATAACTTTTTCTAACCGCAAGTGTATAAACGCCATGTATTTTTTACCTCCATGTAACGAAGTTCCATTTGCCGAAATTTCGATGTAACGAAATTTTATGGACAATTTGTCACAAACTTTTGGGTCCCGAAGGAGATTTTGGAAAGCACATGCGCTGAAATGGGCCCCCAAAAAGCGCAAAGGCTGAAACGGATCGAATCTGGCGAGTGTGGTGTACAGAACGGCTACTAGAAGACACTAGACCGCCGCCGTTCCGTCCGTCGGCTTCGTGTGCACATCGTAGTTCGTTTCGAGGCCTAACTAAAAGCATGCGTTTCTCATTGTCCTGGGCAATGGAGCCTTGAAGGCGAAGGAGCCGCTCCTGACAACATAGACCTCGACGACTTTCTATATGCCGATTCTGCTGTCATTGTGAGGGAAGGAGGTGACCGACGAGGTGATAGCTAGCGATGTTCGTGGGAACTCGCAAGATGGGGACGACATCGAGCCTGATGAGCAAGGCACCTGCGATGTGCCCAGTAACTGTGAAGTGGTAGACGCAATGAATGTCTTGAGGCGGTTCGCGATCCCACAGCAAGACAAAGACGCGATGCAGGCCGTCAGGCTATGTGAACGACGTGTCATGCCAATAATAATGCCAACAGTGCCCCAGAAAAAGGTGACAAACTACTTTCAACGAAAATAGAGGCGTCCTTGGTGAGTTTTGTGCGCCCAAGAAACATTTGTGGAAACTTTCTTTAACGTTAGCCTCGAATTTCTATGTAGCGAAATTTCAATGTAATGAAGTAAATTCCGAATATTACCGGCTTCGTTACATCGAGGTTTGACTGTAATTCGAAAAAAAGCAATTTAGTTATAACGAGGGATTACTGTACATGCATACATATGAACTGCGCAAAATTACGTCCTGCGTAATTTTGACCTTCATCCGCAGTTTACCAACATCAATATTTTTGTGTGTGGTTTTATGAACCAGAATCTCTGCATTTGTGCCATTTATATGTTTGCGTGCGTTTCTACAAAAGCGTGAACCTGTTGGTAAACAAAAAAAAAAGCCTCGATTGAGTGATTAATTGATACATAGAAATAAGATGTTTGCAATTCTTTTTCCTAACCCTCGCATTGAAGACACAAAATTTTAAAACATATATCGAGACGAGAATTTTAGAAAAAGTGACAACCACCGACGCAGATTATTAGCATTCAGTATAGAGTGTGCTTAAAACCGTCGCACTCACAAAGATCTACCGGTATAACGATTGCATGTAGAGAAATCGTAAAACTGCGACTAAGCCCGGTGCCTCACCCGGCTCTGTGACAGGAGAGAGCCTAAAGAGGAAGAGCTGGGAGAGGGAGTCCACCGCCACCAGAACGCCGCTCGTCCAGCTCAGCTGCATGTGGGACACCGTGGCACTCAGGTGCTGGTACTTGATGCCTGCACGGGAGACACACACCTTCGAATCCGTCGATCCGGCCGTGCGCCAACAAACCTCAGCAAAGATACAAGGATGAGGTGTGAGGCTAAACGGGGCTTGCTCGAGGCACCAAGCTCCGTTTCGTATTTTATGCCTTTTCACACACTCACGTTTGGTGGCAACCGAAGGCGCCGTGCAGCCTAGTGCAGGCGTGTGCCGCGTCACGACGAGAGGACACGCCAGCACACTGGCCCCGAATACAAGGCAGCCTTACGAGTGCATTTAACTAGGGTGAAGGTTTTGCGGTATTTGCGGGATTAAAGGCACGCACCACGTGTAAGAAACGGTTGTTCATAATGTCGTCAAAAGCTTTCCAAGCCTGTAATAAAAGAATGACGTGCACAAAAATGAGGAAATATACGCAAATCGCGAGTGTCTCATAGAAGGCGCCAGTGCATTTTCTCGTCACGAGTGATCGCGAGTAAGCACGATGCTGCACGATGCTGCACAATGCACTCAGTTGCAACCTAACTCAAGTGTGTGAACCGATCTTAAGTGAACGGTCCAGACAGAGCTATCTGCACGAGCGAACGGCCTTTTTGGGACATGCTGAGACATGCTTGCACGGACGTTTGGGGCTCAGCACTGTAGAAATCATGCTAGCTTTGAAATTGTCATACAAAGAAGTTCACACCAAGCACAGGATTCAACGTTTTTAAATGCAACTGAAAAAAGACAATATATATTTAAAAAATAATTGGCGATAAACTTTTTATTGTTTTCTAATTATGCACTTGACAAAACTGTGACAAAAAAAGAAGCCAAGGACACTTAACACAAGTCACAGTAGAACAAAAGGTAAGTACTGGTCTTGAGGAGAGGTTCCCTTTGTAACCTTGAAGGGCTCATAAAGAAAAGAAAAAGAAGATTGTTAACCATGCCAAATTAAAAAAAGAAAAAAATGTGATGTTTTTAAAATTAAACTTAAGAAACACAAAATCCCAGTTATATCTCTGGAACCAATAAAATGCCACATGGTGTCAATTTTGAAGATGACATTTTGAAAAAGACATCTAACCGACCTTTTCTCGTCTCCTTCATAGAGCTGAACCAAAATTCAACGAAGTAGCACAACCTGAATAAGAGCTTCGTAAGAGTGGGTGGTGGATGAGGCACCGGGTAGGACCAATGCTTTACAGCCCATTTATTATGTAATTGAAAAAGAAAGTCCAGACATACGACAAAACACATTTTTGGGTAGTCCAAGTAACTATGCATGGCTATATTGTCACAAATGACGAGGTGACGACAGAAAGGATAACCGAGGAAAGTGAAACATTTAATGTGGCGAACTTGTGCCAAACCAAAAAGGAAACAGAGGATTACAGCAGAGCGTCGCAAACGTCGAGGTCGGCATAGCAGCAGGTTCGAGCGCGAGACTGATCCCGGACCGCCATGCGGAGCACCCTTTGTACCCTTACGGGTTTTTGGAACAATTGGCGTAGAACGTATAGAGCGTAGAACATTCATACCTCGATCAGACGACAAAGTTCTCGAACTTACGAGAATGCTAAATTGAAAGAATAAATAAAAGAAGCGACCGCTCCCAGGGATCGAATTTGGGGCCTCTGCACGAAAGCCAAGCAAGATAACCATTCGGCCACACATACGCTGACTCAGCGATGCGCATGGTGATATATTGACACCATGGTTCTTGACCGAAGGAAAAGAATAGCAACACTCACCATGGTCATCACGTCGATGAGATCCAGCACTGATGTTGATGCTGCATACATAGTTCAGGTACTCCCTGAAACATCAACAAGGCATTGCGGTGCAACTTATAAAACAAGCACTAAGCAAACTTTGAATTTTGACATCCATCGGTGCCCATGCCCCCAAATGCAGATGTGGTAAAGAAACTATTTTAGAGATAGTACCAATGGAGATCATTTATCCTTAACAAAGAACGCTATGACTAAACTGAAATATCTGGAGTATATATTGGCCATAAAAATTGCATATATTCTTCACCATTTAAGGGGGGAAACTACCCAGGAAAAATAATTTCTGCGAAAGAAATTGATTTTGGAAAATGTCATATTTACATCCATCAACATCTAGAGAGTATTCCCAGAAAGTTTCATTAGTTTACACTGCATAGTCAATTTTTTATAAATTATTTTCGGTCCACCGATGCTAAAAAAAAGGTAGAGGTTGGAGCACTTTGAAAGCATTTTTCTCCATTCCACTTTTTGGCATAAATTTCACTTTTAGGAAAACTATTGTTTTGTTATTACGCAACTTGGATTCATTTTTATGAGTTTTTCTGGGGTGAACTTTTAAGGGGAAGATAGCTATGAGCTTGTAATTATTTATTTTTGTCATTTTTCATGCTCAAAAACTAAAGTTTTGGACAAAGGATGGAAATCTAAAACGCAGTATTTGTGTTCCTGTGACTTTTTTTTGTCATGAAAGATGGTATAATATAGAAATATAGCTCCATATCTATCTGTTCTGAACTGTCCTAAAACAATTAAATACATGAAAACAACAAATTTATAAGTAATTTTAAAACGATAGTTTTCCTACGCAAATATGCCCACTTTCATCTTTGAACATTTGCTGTTTTTTTTTTTTTGCACTTCACCCAGGTTAACAAAATTTGGCAGAAATGTTCTTAACATCAACAGAAACAAGACCTGCAGGGGTGGAACTCATGAAATGTACTTGGGAACAGCAACGGGAGCAGCTGAAACACCTGCTTTGGAGCAGGATCGGAGCAGCTAAAACTATGTTCTGGAGCAGACTAGGAGCAGCTCAGATCAGTTTTCATTGCACTTCAGCTTGTGTCTTAGACAAGCAGGGGAGCAATTTCAAACGTGCTCAGCAGCACAGATGCATATGAGTGGTTAGGGACCTAGGTAGATTGGATCACAGTGTAACAGATGTGAAAACTTTAAACTTTGTGAGCCTTAATGAGAATCAAAAAGCAAGTACCCTATGTTTCTGAAGATAGCGTCCTTGATATTTTCTGAGTGGCTTTCAGCTCTTCAAAATGCAAACCAGCACTGCTTATCGCACAATCCACATGTGCTCGACATAGTAATTATATGTGCAAACCATGTGACGAGCGTAAGCAACGGACGTGCAGTTGCTTGGAGGAACAGGGCAACAAATTTCAAGTTTATCCTATTGTGCAACTCGATATCGAAGCAGCAGACTACGATTAACGAAGTTATCGTATTTAAAGCGATAAGCAGGAGCAAGGTTTATGCATGCCGAGTAGATCTACCGCTCGCGTAAGAGCTGCAGGCCGGCAAGGTTTCGGATCGGACCGCGTTTCAGTTCTATCAAATCATGATTTATCTTGCGAGAATGCGGTTCCAACTTCTAACGATGAAGTACTAAAGGAAATGGTTTGCTGATGTGCTTTCAACTGGCTGACGTCCGGAACCTAGGCTGCAGAGCCTCAGGCAATCTGACGCTTAACGACTCGACCTCACCTCAGCCGACTTGTTAACCGCTTATGGCTGAAGAATAACAATTCAGTCGCAGGTAATGTAGCGCTTAGAATCCTTCGCGCGCTTCCGACTCGGGATACACAGGGAGAATAAACAGAACAAAGGATTGCAAGGACGACCAAGCTAAACGCGCTCATTGTTGCCAATCGAGTCAATAAAACCGAAACCAAGACAAAATAAAAAGATTTTGGCACACGTTTTGCAATTTGGCGCATAATGGCGCGAGGTGTTGGCTGTGGCACAGTTTCTGCAACATGGCGCAGACACATGCGCCTGGCGCAAAATGGCTTAAGTGGCACAGTCATTCCCCCCCTGGCCCTGTAAATGTCATTGAAATCAGACAAGGGGTTCAAACCTTTTTCACCGCCTGGTGGCGGGCATGTCGACGTGTAATTTCTTGTTTCCGTACTTCATGAAATGCATTTGTTTCTTTTTAGAGCGCAGCTCTTAGGGGCCCGTTTCCGGCTTGAGCGGCGTCGGCGTCGGCGTAACCGCGCGGTGCATCATGGGAAATGTCCCATAATGCACCGCGCAAGCCCCCCATCGAGGTCACGTGACCTCGTGGGGGGGCACGTGACCCCCCCGAGGTCACGTGACACCGGTGCATCATGGGAAATGTCCCATAATGCACCGCGCGAGCCCCCCACCGGGGTCACGTAACCCCCCCGAGGTCACGTGACCCCCGAAGTCACGTGACTCCCCTGAGGTCACGTGACCCCCGCCGATGTCGCGTGACCCCCCAATGACGTCATCGTCACTGATGACGTCACCGGCATCCACATCGTCATCGTCATCATCACTGATGACGTCACCGGCATCCACATCGTCATCGTCATCATCACTGATGACGTCACCGGCACCCGCATCGTCATCATCACTGATGACGTTATCGACATCGTCATCGTCATCATCACTGATGACGTCATCAGTGACGTCACTGATGTCGTCACCGGCATCCACATCGTCATCGTCACTGATGACATCACCAGCATCCGCATCGTCATCGTCATCATCACTGATGATGTCACCGGCATCCGCATCGTCATCATCACTGATGACGTTACCGACATCCGCATCGTCATCGTAATCATCACTGATGACGTCATCAGCGACGTCACTGATGACGTCACCGGCATCCACATCGTCATCGTCATCATCACTGATGACGTCACCGGCATCCACATCGTCATCATCACTGATGACGTCACCGGCATCCACATCGTCATCGTCATCATCACTGATGACGTCACCGGCACCCGCTCGTCATCGTCATCATCACTGATGACTCTACCGACATCCGCATCGTCATCATCACTGATGACGTCATCAGTGACGTCACTGATGTCGTCACCGGCATCCACATCGTCATCGTCACTGATGACGTCACCAGCATCCGCATCGTCATCGTCATCATCACTGATGACGTCACCGGCATCCGCATCGTCATGGTCATCATCACTGATGACGTTACCGACATCCGCATCGTCATCGTAATCATCACTGATGACGTCATCAGCGACGTCACTGATGACGTCACCGACATTCGCATCGTCATCGTCATCATCACTGGTGAAGTCATCAGTGACGTCACTAATGACGTCATCGGTACCCGCATCGTCATCGTCACTGATGACATCATCGGCATTGGGGGTCACGTGACCCCCCCCCTGGTTAGTTTAACCCCCCCCCCCCCCCCCCCAGGCCCTTCCCTCCTCCTCCTCAAGAGCTGCGCTCTAATTCGGCGTTACAGGGAGTTGTAAGCAGCTTTCACTTTTTTTATCTAAAATACTGAACAAAAACTACTTTTACAAATCATCAAAACGGCTCGCGCCACTTATATTTTGTATTTCGGCTCAACAGAAGCTTTTAGCGGCTCTGACCAGTAGTAAGCCCAGGACCAAAGACGTCACATTTTGCACGCTTTCGGTACCGCGGGTCGCCCTCGTCGGTGGAGGTTTCCGTGTCGTCCGGTTAAAATATGACGCACTGATATTTAGTTACTCTCTCTGTGCCCGCTGGCTTGCCCGAACCCCAAGAGACGTGGAAACCGCAAAAAAGGTAGACGCTTATATATGATTGCAGGGCCCCTTTAAGAAGCTCCGAGATTGCTTGTGCCGGTAGCCCTAACCAAAAGAAAGCAGTCCAGATAAACAATATCCTTCTGTCTCCAGGGAATCATGGTCTCATTTCCAAAAAAGTTACCTTAAACATCATCCAAGTAGCTGCTCTTTCTACCGTCACAAGAAAATATATTTAACAGCAGCGGTAGTAGCTATTAGTTTAGTCACAATGTTGTCTTTCTGAAAACATAGTGGGCTAAAATCAAACAGTGATGCTTTTGTAGCTCGTCAAAACATTTGAAATTGTGTACTTTTAGTTGATTTCCAGTTCTGCTTAATTAAAGTAGAGAGTGGAGAAATAATATTGCCCCAACAGCAAAATGAATGCTTTCTTTTTTTTCCTGCATTTCAGAGTCGCCAAACCAACCTAAGAAAATCCATTGAACCCATCGAGAGGTTTCTCTTATAATTTTTGATTCACAAGCTTCAATTTTTGGCACGATCACCTGCTGTGGGAGAAAACGAAGAACACTGCCCGCCGTCATCAAGATTGGGTTTTTCGACAGACACGGGGGGATAAGGCCTCGGCGAATGAAAAAGCCACTAAGTCGGCAACGAGATTGTACGGTAACATGGGGGATGACAGAACGGCTACTATAGTCACTGACTATGTGAAAACGGTAGGGAGGAGCTCCAGTTGTCCCACCGCCAGCACAAGCTTCCTACCTTCTACCATGCTTCATCATCTTGTGTACCTTGAGTATGCAGGCACAGCAGAAGCATGTAAGAAGGCAAGGACTGCATGCTGGAGGTCGGACATTCAGCCTGTGACGATAAATGCTGGAGGCCGGACATTCTGCCTGTGACGATAAATGAATAATGCTTTACATAGACGATGAACCAAAAAGCCCTTCCGTACCTAGAGCTCTAGTTAAAGAGTTCTTTTGTTTCTACCTTGTCAGAGCAAGTGTGCAGGAAACAGTGACGAGGAAGCAAGGATGTAAAACGACAGGTATTTTAGGTGTTTACGTTCTCTGTCCTTTGTCAACAATTTTGTGTTCCTTCATTGAGTGCAACAGAGATTTAAAGTCATTGTGTTCGGCCTGCTCCTTTTCCGGGGAAGTCTCGATGGGGTGAGCACACCACCACGGAAAAATTACATATTGAGGTATTTAGCATACAAAGTACCTCAATAGTTTAGACTACCAACTGGCCCAAATGTCAACTTTACTACGGAAAAATTCCGTACCTTGAGAAGCATTTGATGACGTTATCTTTGTAGGCAGCGATGATGTACGATGGAGGCGGGCTCATGTCGTAGATGGAGAGCCGAGGGGTGCAGAGTGCCATGACGGGAGAGCTGTAGGACGTGGACGCATGGTGCTGCCAGCCCTGCCAAGCACAGTATACCAATGTGCGTAAGGTCGAACACGCGTTCAGGAAAACAAGACTGTCGCCTGCAGTATCACGTGCAGAGCATTACCTCAAACTTAAAGAGCCAGCATGATGATAAACCCTCAGACTGGGGTAGAAAGAGTAAGGGTAAGAGAAACAGAAAGCAGGACAGACAACATCTCATACGTTGTCTGCCCTTTTTTTATCTGTCTCTCAGTGACCAAAGGACTGAATTTAAGCTGGCAGTCATTCGGATGTGACATAACGCATCTTGCCAGTGATTAATCGCTTTTCGAATATTGACCTTAGTTCCTAAATTTTGGAGTTATTAAAGGGATACTAAACAATTATAAAGATGGCTGATAAGTTTATCAATTTGTTTGGGAATTTTATTCTATTTGGTTTGACTGGCCACTTCCACAAAAAGAAAACTGCAATTCATTCCACAGTTTTAGATACAAAAAAGTAACATCAATTTTAATGCACAAAAGCAAGAAAAAGCAAGCAAGATACAAGAAAAAGTTGCTAATTTTATATTTACTCGTCTTCAAAACATAATTAATGTAAGTGGTGTAAAACAGTTACCATCCCATCATGCTCAAGACCCTTATCTAAAGTGCTGCAGAGGTCACAGTATAGTGCACTTACAATGTTCTCCGCTCAAACAATCACCAGCTGCCTTTTAAATGGCATATGAATGTTTTCTTGCTCCTGCTGTAGCACCACATGAGAGTAGAAATCCTCATCATGTGGTGTTGGTTAATCACCTTTTGCTGCTCTTTTTCAGACATGCCATAAAAATTATTAATCTTATAATTGTTTCTATGTGACTCTAAGCTTCCCTTTTCATTCAGAAAGGCAGCGACTGTGGCTGCCCATATTTTGAAGTGTGCCTTCACTTTAAATGTAGGCAAATCAATTTTCTCTAAGCCTCAATCTGTAAGGACAAAATAGGTGCTTAGAACTGCATAAGCATAGTAGCATTACTATCGCAACTCACCACAGTCTTTGTGGCCGTCTCGGCAGAAGACGGGGTGTGAAGTACCTTGTGAAATCGCACTGGCTTCTCCCTCAGCTCCCACAGCTCTATCGTGCTGCCACCACACCCTTCAGGAAACACATTTGAATCACGACCAAAGCACCATCAGGAGTGCCAGCGAGTACCGGTCACTCTGAAACACTGAGCTCAAGCGTGTGGCAAGCATGTGGCACCCTATAAAGTGGTGCAACCATCTAAAGACTAGGAATATGCCAGAGAGGCAAAGGCCCCACCTGAAACTGAGACGGCAACTGCATCTGCCGCCTCACGGAGGACGAAGTTCAGGTGCGTCACGCGGGTATGAGCTGGAAATGGGAGCATATACAGGATCTACTACATGATGCAATGGGACAAATGACCAGGTCCACAGGCACTTTCATAATTCGAGGCACCAAAAAAGCAGCAGCTGACACAAACTCACTAGGTTTTTCTCGGGACTGCGGGGAAACATGGCAGTTCAGGTAAAAACTGGAGAACGGCTGGCAGCTGACAATGCATTTGTCTGAAAGCAGGCAGTTTGTAAGCCACTATGCTGGAAATTTTGGCGGAAGAAATCATTCATTCCCCGCATCTTTCACAGAGAGAAGTTTACCCTGGTTCAGTTTCAGAGCAATCCGATAGCAGTGCACAGAAGACTGCACCAGTCCGTCACTTGTGACAACCAAGAAATCGCCATCTGCAAAACAGTACAAAACATGCCAAAATTAGCGAAAAAAAAAAATGTGGCAGTCCTGCGTTAGTTCCCAGTACAGTCACAGTGATAGCTACGACAAATCATGGTAAAGTCGTTGGGCCTTGGCATTGCATTCAAGAACCGTGGGGTGCAAGAAGGAAAGCGTTCGAAACAAAATAGACGTGTGACCCGTAGCAGACAACAGAGAAAACGCAAGCACATAGCGCGAAGATTTGGTTTAAACCCGTATTCTATCTCGCGCATACTGGCCGGCATTTGGAACACATTGGCCTGCGTTTGGCATGCTCTCTCCACTTGTGCCTAGCAAAGAAGAGATGGAGTCGCTCCTGTCTGATCTCTTCCGAACACTTGTTTCTTTTTCGTTCCAGAGCGCGTGAAAGCGTGTCTCCAGGCATGAGCTCTCGGCATTGACAGTGCTACATCGGCATCTTGATGTCGGCTATGTGTATTTTTCCAGAGAGCGCGTGCGGTGGGCGTCGGGTACACAAGACCCGCAAGTTTAAAGTGGCTCGCTAGCTCTGTGGCGTGGCTCAGTGGCAATGTCTTCGCTTGGCATGCGGCAGACCCAGGTTTGATACCTGTGGGCGGCGGGCAATCTTATTTAAGGATTTTGCAACGTGGACGACGGACGCCCTACGTTGCCAAACTATGTCAGCAACTACTATAACTACAACTACAGACGTCATTTCCAGCAGCGGGAAGAGCCCATAACAGCTCTCACTGTAAAAGCACTGGAAATATTAAATTGTCCCCAATGATGCGCAAACAGTGCCTACTTTTTCCATAGCAGAGATCAACCACCTTCAGCCTGTTTCGGTACTGGCCCAGTATTTCAGTCCCGGTGACAACGGTCTCATCCGATTGTAGTATCACGACGCATACCTAGAAAGACAAGTTGAATCTCAAGTTTGCTGCTATCTTTTTTTATTTCATAAGTACCAACAAAACTGGAGAATGAAACCAAAGTAGAAAGGTACCCCTGAGAAATAGTTACTTAATAAAGTACCACATTCTTCAACCCACCAAACCAGAGCTTGTGACAGCGATGCAGCCTTCACTTGGTTTTCCGCCAACTTGGCGCACCGATGGGCCAAACCGAATGTGCACATATTTTTCCAGGTAGAGCATGCTGTCCTTCTTCTCCATGTTTAGGCCAATCTAGAATAACACCACAAAGTTGAGCATGAAACAAAACAACAAGAAAAGCATTTAGTAATTTTAAAAAATTCTACCACCCGAGAAAAAAAAGAAAATCTTTGAAAGCTGTTTTAAGAGAAAGACTAGGTGAATAAAACCAAGAACACAAATCGAAATAACAAGCTGCCAACCTTTTTTCCATTATGAAACCAGGCCCCAACCAGGACATACTCTCCCGGGAATGATGCTGATGCAATCATTGTCCAGTCGTTCAGCAGGTAATTCTGGAAGCCACAATCAATGCCTTGTCAGTCACTCCCAACAAACAAAAAATGTGAAGGGCACAACGAGTGAATGTGAGTGTGTACCGAAGAAAAAAACGTTCAGCCTATTTCTTCTTGGTCGTAGCCTACGATGAATTCCCACCAACGTGCCCAACTATCCATTCTTCTATTATAGCTGGGAAGGTTGCCGCCATCTACGAGCGACGGCGGAAACCATACTTTTCGTGTGATTGCCGCCGTCGCTTATAGATGGCGGCAGCTGCCCAGGTAGGTTTGTGCCGACATACACGGACACAATCCTGGGGAACCTAGCCCTTAACAGCTCCGCTGTAAAGAATTGACATAGTTTGCAGCTGGGCTTCCTGCCATGTACTTGTTTATCACTGCCAATCGAGGGAAAAGGTATTGGGGATAAAGCGGACAAGAGAAAGAGCCAGGGAGGAACGGAAGGTGCAGTTACATTTTTAGACCATAAGTGAGTCATTGAGGCAAGCAAGTGTGTTGAAAGCACAGCAATGGAGAGAGTTGGTGAGGTGACAGGAACATGTAGTCTTGGTCTCTTATGCTCCATTACCTTTTGGAGACAGGGGATATCCCTCATGCTCAGTGGCAGATGGTGACAAGCTCTTTCAGCTCATGATGCTACTGACACCGTTTTACTCTGAATTGACCCCTTTCCCCATGTACTCGCAACATCTCAGCACCTTGTAAAAACACTTCCAGTACATTCACCCACATAGCATCTGGCAGCGAGTTCCAGTGTGTTAACTTTCCTTAGCGTGCAACTACCGTAACATACCAGGGAAGTGCCCACCCCACTTTCACTGAAAACTGAATTAATCTAGGCATAAGTGCTTGTCTTGCAAAATTGGTAAAAACCAAGATGGTGGCCAATGAAGAGCTTTGAAGGCAGGGTGAACAGAATTAGAGAAGGCACATTTATTTCCACATGATACCCCTTAATCGCCACTGGCGGTGTCATGGCCGCCGCAACGGGGTGAGTATTTTCTGCTGATGCCAATGCATTGGAGGAGTGGGCACCTAACATATAATTTGTGGAATTCCTAAGTTTGGGAAATGTTAATAGTGGGCGATTCTGCGGTATTTTACGGTATACACAATATTTCATAAACATAAATTTCACAAACAAATTATTTAATGATTTTTCATAAACAACCGCATTCACATTTCGTTGACTCATGATGCCTAGAAACCAGCTGGAAGAGTATCTGGCCAACAAACTTTTGACTGGGATAGTTATTACAATAGATAAGCAAACCAATAGAAAACATTTAAAGACAACCAACTCTTCCCATTTTATGTTCCAGTTATGGATTTACAAGAATGAAATGTAGCAAAAGCATGTCCATAATGAATTGTTTCAAAGGAATTCGGAAAAAAAACAAAAATTATAAGTAGTGTTTGTTACCGAAATATATCTAACTAGTTGTACGCGGCATTACCAGAGATACAGGAATGAGAGTGTAACGCTACCAGTTTGAGAGGAGGGCAAGAGGAACTCCCCTCACACCCAGACTCTCCTTTTGTGTGCCCCCCCCCCTCCCCATCACTTGTTACACACCTCAGAGATTAACACGTCACCCAAAGTTTGTACAAAAGCACCCTCCCTTTTTATCCCACCTGTAGCTTCCACACTAGTGTGCACATCTAGTTAGATAGGGTATAGACCACTCACCTTCATTGACCACAGCTGGATCTGGCCAACAGCGTCTGTGATCAGAAGCTTCGAAGCTCCCACATCCCACTCTATGCAGGTTATTTCTTCCGAATGTGTCATCACCCTATGAAATGCCGAAAATTAGGAACCTAAGCCTCACGCACGACTGCTGGAACCGTCCAGCTCCGTCACAACACTCACTTGTGTGCGTCCCAGGGCATGTTGAGGTCGACGACGTACACATGGAAGCATGTGATTTTCCCCACCGGCTCCTGGACATCCGACGAGGACGTGAAGGCAAGAGTGTTGTGGCTGGACACGGAACATACCGTCTTGCTCTCCGTGAGCCTGCAAATACCAAATACCAAAACGAGTTTTCACAAAACACCTTTTTAACATGCAATAAACTGTGACCGGGTCGGCCATTGATATGCATTTACTCAAAACTTTCCTCCCCTTATGCAAAGTAAAAAAAAAAAAAGAAGTGTATGTTAAAGGCAGGAGTACACTTTGGGCTTTCCACTTTCTCACTCCCCTCTTCGCCATATCCTCTCGACCTTTCAACTTGCCCCAACACGCAGTTTAGGAGAAAAGGGTGCTAAAAGGACTGTCTTTTCTGCAGAAAACAGAGGCTGTATGTACGTCGGTCTTTAAGTGTGGATGACCTTCGCCTCACGTCACTTAATGATCAGCGGCCGAATATGTTCGCGCATCGTATCTTGGAGCATGCAGAGCGAATGCTCGAGCTACAAAACCCAGGAATACTGGCCACCATCCCCGCCCCTGCCCACTTCGATCAGGATGAGATGAGCATCGTACCTGCGTGCGGTCCTCTAAACACCGCTGCTTGATGCACGTTAGAGGTCCCACGTTAGCAATCGGACTGCACTGTCTGCATTTCCAACCTACAGCTGAACCAGCATGAACTTTCACTACAGGAGAGCCGCGGCACCGATCGATGCTAGCGAGCAATTTTTGTACGACATTATTCACACCACCTCTATAAACTACGAAGTAAAGTGAATGCAAACCGTGCACAGCGTATGAGCTGGTTTAAATAAGACACGGATACAGCAGATGTGTTTAGAACGAAAATAAGGTTGTCACCATTCAGCACTTGTAGGTATCGAGCTTGGAAACCGCTTGAGCACAGAGTACACGTGGTCCATGTTCGATTTCACGAAGTCAGGCTGGTGTCAAATAGTTCAGCAAAAAGAACACCCCATCTGAATTTAAAACCTCAAACTCGGTTTGACTTCTCATGCACGAACACCGGAACGACCAACAGCAGCCCGCGTACGCGCAAACTGGCTTGCGATGGATTCTGGCTTTTGAAATATGTGCTCAGCGGCTTGGCTCAGCTAACTGTTAACTGCGAACTGGCTAGATAAATGAAGAAATGCAAACGGCTTGTTCGTATTGGGCGGTCGTCTGCGCCACCTATTGTCGGTGACAGATTGAAACCGTTGAAAGTAGTTAAGAGAAACACGCAGACCGAGCGCTGACTGACAACTGGTTTATTTCTGGAAAACCACCTACCGGCGTAAAAACACAAGACAAACATACATCGGACCATCGCCTAAAGGGCACGTGTCACAGCTCTCCAAGAACGCGATTTCTTTATCGAAGAGCGCAAGCGAGGGAGCACTGACGCACTCATCCTTATACTTAGAAATGTAATAAGCCTCGAAAATTTCACGAATCACCTGATAACTGCACAGTCAACAGGTGACTCGTGAATTTTTTTTTTAAAGGGGGGAACACCCACATTTATTGCAAATTCACAATGAATGGCCAAATTACCCGACGGTGAAGATCTTTTCCAAAGTCCGTGTTCTCTGAGCCTATCATTGATGCACCTCCCTGATTGGCCGAAGTACACTCTCCCAAAGGGCAAATGAATTTTGTACACCACGCCGACCGCGCGCGGCACAAACTCCTTTTTGTGATAATAAAGGCCCGTTCACACTCTTGCGACCGAGTACGACTGAGAGAGACGAGATCTCTTAAAACTTCTTAAATGTTTTTAGAATGAGGGAACACACTGGCATTGTGGCGCCATCTATGCGGTGACCATGGAACTGCATTTCACAAGAGCGAAGGTTTTGCGGGATTTCCGAGGTCAAATGTGCGTAGTACCCACGGAAAGGCTCGTTTATAACATTGACAAAAGTTTTTCGAGCCAAGAAAGAAAGGGTAACGCGCGAGAAATAAAAAAAAAATATATGCCGGACCGTCGAGTTTACACTGCTTCCCAATAGATGGCGCCAGTGTGTTTTTTGGTTTAAGAAGTTTCAAGGAACCCAGGTTTAAGAAGTCGCAAGAGTGTGAACGGGCCTTAAAACTCGAGGAAGAAAACGAGAAGGGACGGACATGCTTCTTACCGCAGCTGAGTTTAGTTTTGAAGGCGCAGAGAACACCACGGGGACTCCACGTCGCTGTGCTATCCTTTCGTGTCTGTGCGCATGGGCGGACACCAACCCGAGGGGGGGGGGGGGGGGGGGGGCAAGGGGGGCCGTTTGCTCCCCCCCCCCCCCCCCAGTTTTCAGAGTGGAGGCCAAGGTGGCTGGAACGACTAGGCCATCCTCTCGACGTCATCCTCGCCGTAGCTTTGCTCGTCTTGAGACGACCTACGTCACGATTGCGTTGGATGTCACGTGCTCTAAGCTGGGCCTTCTCCGAGCGCTTGCCAGAGTGGGCCGTTTATAACGAAAAATACAGCCAACAGGATCAAAATACAAACGTGCGATTGTCATTTACGGATATTGTGGATCATATTCAACCTATTTTTGAACATGACGGGAATATTTTAAATTTCGTTGAAGTATCCCTTTAACAGCATCTAAGGTGGACGTGATATATTTTTCGGTAATAGCTATGGCTGGTTCGATAATACTTTCTCACCAAACCTGAGTTTGCATGCAACATATTCTGGCCCATCAGATGAAGATGTGCATAAAAAGGTCGAATCGTACACTGCTTATTCACACAAATCAAGGCCCGACTTGGACCACGTGGACGTTTTGAGCTGTATAACACATAGCCAACGAGTTTGAATTGGTCATCCGTGTGTCCTTCAGATGTTGCAATAACAGGAAACTTAAATTCGGCGACGAGCTCCCGGAAGTCGCCCATTTTTGTACGAAGAGAATTGGCGTTCCACTAAAATATTTTCGTTCGGCGATATTCTTCATTAATTTACATGGATTTATTCGAAGTCAGTAAAAGTGGCTCCATATCTAGAAGCGCTTTTACCTCGGAGATGTCCAGGGCATCGGAAAGTGATTTTATGATTGTTTTCACTGCCAGAAAGACCAGTTGGAGAAGCTATTGTGGATTCATCCCTTGATATGGTGGGGTGGCCGGTGTGCCTGTACCGCTGATGGACGTGTCACAAGTGGTCGACATTTTTACATGCGAAGTTGAGGGTCTTGAAGTTCTGCGGGCGACAGACGCATGCAGTAGGTCCCAGTGACCCTGACTGTTGAGATGTCCTCTGTGAAATTGGTGCAGGGGTCACTGGATCACATGGAGCTTTCTCACTTGTGGTACTTGCCTGTTTCTTCGACGGTCGTTGCAAAGCGTGTGAGTGCGTCCGTTCTTTCTTAGGCGTTGATATTCCTCTTTGACTTGGTGTTTCAGGCTGGTGTACCGTCCCCGGATTCGGAGGTGGCGATCTACGATTGGGGGCGCGACCGTTCAGGATTTCCTGCTTCCTCAGCACGGTGGCAGCTTTCTTGCTGGAGGAGCCGGCTTATGTTGTCGTGTGAGAACATCCGCAGTTCGCGCAGTTTGGTTCAGAGCGATAGTTGCAGTCCTTGTGGTGGTGTGGACCGGCACAGAACTTTCAACGTCTTGCGCTCCGGCAGTTTTGTGCGATATGTCCAAACTGTTGGCATTGGTAGCACTGAATTGGGGCTCCAAAGTATTCCTCCACAGGGTAACTTGTGAAACCTAAATACACACGATTTAGCATCGGACGGTCTTGTATGAAACGAAGAATCAAGCTGTCCTTGGGGTGAGGCGTTGAGTTGCCGTCCATTTGACTCCTCTATGCGACCTGCCCTTGGACGTACGTAACACCTGCATCATGTAAGCGGGGACTCAAGCCGAAATCATAACCGAAACCGAAAACCGTTTAGGAACGAATTTTTTTCAGTAACTGTAACCGGAACGAAACCGTTTTTTTTTTTTTTATTTGTTGAAACCGTTACTGTAACAGTAAATTATTTACTGTAACCGATATTAACCGAACAATCAAAATATTAGTTTTTCTTAAGAATTACCACAAGGAGAGATCTTGAAGTGTCGTGGCAATTTGAGTAAGTTACCGTCAGCGAATAATGCTTCTTGTAATATATTTCCGTTCAATTAATCTAAATTTCGAATTAAGAATACTTAACTAGAATCAGTGGTCGACCTTATAATGAAAAGTCTCTATATCTAAATCTTCCACACTCCTAAATTTGCTACATCTATTAAGCAAGTGGGCCCTTCAAAGTATTAATTAAAAAGTTAGAATTCTGAGATGTCCATCCAGTTCGGATCTTTACAAAACAACAGTGTTTCTGACCTGCAGTGGCCAGTATGAAGAAACGAGGCAAATTGACCATCATGCAGAGCTGGCAGAAAACAAAACCTGCTCTTAATTTCGTCTGTGACTCCGTCGCTCGTCCTTTTAGTAATAATATTAACAATGTTTTTACTCCTTAAACTACACTTACAGTAACTGGCCCACAAAAGCGAAGAAAATTGCTTGTCCGTACGTGGAACCAGGCAGACCATGACATTTACAAATAAAAGGAATAGAACACAGTGCTACAGGTAACACTATAAAGTAAATAAGTAGAATTGTAAAGCATAGCAATATGTGCGCCATGTAAAAAACTACTCTCCACATGCAAATGAAAACAAAATCACTGAACAGTGAGATACTAACAGATTCTAAACACCATATGACCTCACGTGAAACAATAATAAACAATAAATGAACAGCAAAATCGCATAACACAGAAATTACCCCCCCCCCCCAAAAAAAAAAAAACGCACTAAACAACAGGGAAATCAGGTTTTACATTCTAGACACCCCTTTTTAAGAGCTTTCTTTGCCGTTCGCATGGATGATATACTAATCATATTACCGGGTAATTTATTAAAAAGGGAAGGAATTATAATGCCGTTTTATTCTCTTTTCGTAGTTCGTAAATATTCTGGGGATTACGTACCTTTCTGTGCATTTCCGGTTTCTCCTTCTTGACCTCAATTTTCGAGCTCTTATCGTTTAATATTACCTATTCATACAGTTTAGAAAAATGCATTATATTTAGTTTATTCATTTTCATATTTTTATTACTAGGCTATCATATGTGGTTTCGCACGCAACGTTACTCGCAATCTGTTTGAGTAGTCTATCAATTCCTAGCTTTTTATTTCCTGCACATTGACCGAAAACAGTAATACCGTATCGCAAGATCAACTCTCCTAAGACCATAAAAACAGTTTTTCTAACATTTATACCACAATCGCTCTTTAACCGGTAAAGATACGCTAGTACTACGCGAAGCCTTTAAAAAAAAATTCTATGTGATGGTTTTATAAAATATGTCCGTCAAAAATATGCCTAAGTACTTTACAGACTGTTCGTATGGAAGTACTGTTAGCGAAGTGCGCGGCCAAAAACGTCGCTGTGGTCAGCTTTCCACGATTGGCCAAACCATGGGTATATGAGCACGGTCAGATTGTCAACTTTGACGGTGTAAGTTTCGGATTGCGATGGCTCCTAGCTTCTACTGTGCTTTTTAAACACACCATCGAACTCGTCGTCGCACCCGATGGTAAGTAACCAGGGTAACAACTGGTGACGTCACGGCGAGGCAAATCCCAGTCGTGACGTCACGGAGGGAAACCATAAGAGGGCGCCACCGAAACATCTCGGCGCTAATGCTTTCGCAAGAGTTGCCATGCCCCCAATTTAAATAATCACCTGCCGTTAGCTTTACCTGTTTATGGGGATTACGAAAACACATAAGTTTTGTTTTGTTCTTATTTACTGAAATAATATTGGCAGAAAACCACTGCAGTAACATATCCACGTCTTCTTGAAATATTTAAATTGCGTTTTCGTATATGTCATATGGTAATAGTAGAACTGCATCGACTGCATATAAGAAGATTCTAGACTCTAGCGGTAATACACTTAACTCGTTTATGTAAATATTAAACAGCAACGGGCCCAAAGTGCCCCCTTGAGGTACACAGCACTGAGCCCGAGTTTTACTACTAACACAATTTTATATTTTCACCAGTTGAAATCTGTCTGTAAAGTACTC